TTATAGAGCCATGGGGCCAGGGACACATGGTGCTACTGATGGCGTTATAGAGCCATGGGGCCAGGGACACATGGTGCTACTGATGGCGTTATAGAGCCATGGGGCCAGGGACACATGGTGCTACTGATGGCGTTATAGAGCCATGGGGCCAGGGACACATGGCGCTACTGATGGCGTTATAGAGCCATGGGACCAGGGACACATGGTGCTACTGATGGCGTTATAGAGCCATGGGGCCAGGGACACATGGTGCTACTGATGGCGTTATAGAGCCATGGGGCCAGGGACACATGGTGCTACTGATGGCGTTATAGAGCCATGGGGCCAGGGACACATGGTGCTACTGATGGCGTTATAGAGCCATGGGGCCAGGGACACATGGCGCTACTGATGGCGTTATAGAGCCATGGGACCAGGGACACATGGTGCTACTGATGGCGTTATAGAGCCATGGGGCCAGGGACACATGGTGCTACTGATGGCGTTATAGAGCCATGGGGCCAGGGACACATGGTGCTACTGATGGCGTTATAGAGCCATGGGGCCAGGGACACATGGTGCTACTGATGGCGTTATAGAGCCATGGGGCCATGGGGCCAGGGACACATGGTGCTACTGATGGCGTTATAGAGCCATGGGACCAGGGACACATGGTGCTACTGATGGCGTTATAGAGCCATGGGGCCAGGGACACATGGTGCTACTGATGGCGTTATAGAGCCATGGGGCCAGGGACACATGGTGCTACTGATGGCGTTATAGAGCCATGGGGCCAGGGACACATGGTGCTACTGATGGCGTTATAGAGCCATGGGGCCATGGGGCCAGGGACACATGGTGCTACTGATGGCGTTATAGAGCCATGGGGCCAGGGACACATGGTGCTACTGATGGCGTTATAGAGCCATTGGGCCAGGGACACATGGTGCTACTGATGGCGTTATAGAGCCATGGAGCCAGGGACATGGTGCTACTGATGGCGTTATAGAGCCATTGGGCCAGGGACACATGGCGCTACTGATGGCGTTATAGAGCCATGGAGCCAGGGACATGGTGCTACTGATGGCGTTATAGAGCCATTGGGCCAGGGACATATGGTGCTACTGATGGCGTTATAGAGCCATTTGGCCAGGGACACATGGTGCTACTGATGGCGTTATAAAGCCATGGGGCCAGTGACATGGTGCTACTGATGGCGTTATAGAGCCATGGGGCCAGGGACACATGGTGCTACTGATGGCGTTATAGAGCCATGGGGCCAGGGACACATGGTGCTACTGATGGCGTTATAGAGCCATGGGGCCAGGGACACATGGTGCTACTCATGGCGTTATAGAGCCATGGGGCCAGGGACACATGGTGCTACTGATGGCGTTATAGAGCCATGGGGCCAGGGACACATGGTGCTACTGATGGCGTTATAGAGCCATAGGGCCAGGGACACATGGTGCTACTGATGGCGTTATAGAGCCATGGGGCCATGGGGCCAGGGACACATGGTGCTACTGATGGCGTTATAGAGCCATGGGGCCAGGGACACATGGTGCTACTGATGGCGTTATAGAGCCATTGAGCCAGGGACATGGTGCTACTGATGGCGCTATAGAGCCATGGGGCCAGGGGGCTAGGACACATGGTGCTACTGATGGCGTTATAGAGCCATTGGGCCAGGGACACATGGTGCTACTGATGGCGTTATAGAGCCATGGGGCCAGGGACACATGGTGCTACTGATGGCGCTATAGAGCCATGGGGCCAGGGACACATGGTGCTACTGATGGCGCTATAGAGCCATGGGGCCAGGGACACATGGTGCTACTGATGGCGTTATAGAGCCATGGAGCCAGGGACACTTGGTGCTACTCATGGCGTTATAGAGCCTCGGAGCCAGGGACACATGGTGCTACTGATGGCGTTATAGAGCCATGGAGCCAGGGACATGGTGCTACTGATGGCGCTATAGAGCCACGGGGCCAGGGTCATGGTGCTACTGATGGCGCTATAGAGCCATGGGGCCATGGGGCCAGGGACACATGGTGCTACTGATGGCGCTATAGAGCCATGGGGCCAGGGACATGGTGCTACTGATGGCGCTATAGAGCCATGGGGCCATGGGGCCAGGGACACATGGTGCTACTGATGGCGTTATAGAGCCATGGGGCCAGGGACACATGGTGCTACTGATGGCGTTATAGAGCCATGGAGCCATGGGGCCAGGGACACATGGTGCTACTGATGGCGTTATAGAGCCATGGGGCCATTGGGCCAGGGACACATGGTGCTACTGATGGCGCTATAGAGCCATGGGGCCATTGGGCCAGGGACACATGGTGCTACTGATGGCGTTATAGAGCCATGGGGCCAGGGACACATGGTGCTACTGATGGCGCTATAGAGCCATGGGGCCATTGGGCCAGGGACACATGGTGCTACTGATGGCGTTATAGAGCCATGGGGCCATTGGGCCAGGGACACATGGTGCTACTGATGGCGTTATAGAGCCATGGGGCCAGGGACACATGGTGCTACTGATGGCGTTATAGAGCCATGGAGCCATGGGGCCAGGGACACATGGTGCTACTGATGGCGTTATAGAGCCATGGGGCCATTGGGCCAGGGACACATGGTGCTACTGATGGCGCTATAGAGCCATGGGGCCATTGGGCCAGGGACACATGGTGCTACTGATGGCGTTATAGAGCCATGGGGCCAGGGACACATGGTGCTACTGATGGCGCTATAGAGCCATGGGGCCATTGGGCCAGGGACACATGGTGCTACTGATGGCGTTATAGAGCCATGGGGCCATTGGGCCAGGGACACATGGTGCTACTGATGGCGCTATAGATCCATAGGGCCATCAGCCGTAAAGTAACGGAGCGATGGAGTTTTTGAGCTATAAAGCAAAGGATCCGGGAGCCATACAGCCATGGTCATGGGAGCCATAAAGCTACAGATGGTTTTATAGAGCTATGTAACCATAGAGCTATGTAGCCATACAGCCATACAGCCATACAGCCATACAGCCATACAGCCATACCGCCATACCGCCATACAGCCATACAGCCATACAGCCATACAGCCATACACCCATACAGCCATACAACCATACAGCCATACAGCCATACAGCCATACAGCCATACAGCCATACAGCCATACAGCCATACAGCCATACAGCCATACAGCCATACAGCCATACAGCCATACAGCCATACAGCCATACAGCCATACAGCCATACAGCCAGACAGCCAGACAGCCAGACAGCCAGACAGCCATACAGCCATACAGCCATACAGCCATATAACCATACAACCAGACAGCCATACAGCCATACAGCCATGAAACGATCGTGCCATGGAGTTATAGCGCCAGTTATGGAACTATGGAGCCATAAATGCATTTAAAAGAACGATGTAGCTATTTGGGCCAAAGAACATCTTTGGCTATATAGCTATATAGCCAAAGAGCTATGAAGCAATATAGCCAAGGAGCTATTTAGCCATAAAGCCATAGAGCTATGAACTCATAGTGTAAAGGGGGCGGGGCACTGTCTTGGTGTGCATTTGTTGTACATGTTCTTTCACGGAGTATTTACGTAACATTGTAGGATATCACCATGATAAGGTACTAAAAAATAAAGGCGACATGGCCTAATTTTTAAAAGCTTTTAATGGGTCTTAAGAGCTAGGATTAGGCCATTACGTAATGATAGCTCTTTCAGTTGGATTTAGCTCTTTACCCCTCGAACCTTGCGGGGATATGTTCTCAGTGACCTGTTACCCTGATAGAGTTGGCTGCTCCAGTCTATTGGAGTGTATGTTCTCAGTGACCTGTTACCCTGATAGAGTTCGCTGCTCCAGTCTATTGGAGTGTATGTTCTCAGTGACCTGTTACCCTGATAGAGTTCGCTGCTCCAGTCTATTGGAGTGTATGTTCTCAGTGACCTGTTACCCTGATAGAGTTCGCTGCTCCAGTCTATTGGAGTGTATGTTCTCAGTGACCTGTTACCCTGATAGAGCTCTCTGCTCCAGTTCCAATAGCTCTTCTGTTGTTTCCTTAGCTGGGTAGACCCCGCCCACCTGTTTGGCTGTTAAATCTTTTGTCCCCAATTTTTTTGTTACGTCTAGTCTGTGTTTGTTTAACGGTATGGGCTAATATTGGTGTAAGATTTTAGCTTTAGTTGGCGGAGAGTTTGGGTCAATAAGGGTGTGTGGTTTTAGCTGTAGCTTTAGTTGGTCGATAGTTAGGTAATGTTTTAGCTTAGTTTTAAGGTCATGTTCTACATTAGGTTTAGGGCCATTTTTAACTTAATTTAAGGGCCATGTTCTACATTAGGTTTTAGGGCCATGTTTTAGCTCAGGTTTAGGGCCATATGTTAGCTCAGGTTTAGGGCCATATCTTAGCTCAGGTTTAGGACCATATCTTAGCTCAGGTTTAGGGCTATGCATTACAAGTCTTACCGCCTGACATGATCTAATTTCACCATTGATCTATCGATCTATATATTTGATCTATGCACAATCCAATGCACTTCTGAGGTACCCGTATCAAAGCTTAAGTCTTTTATAATAGAAATGTTTACTACATATATAATTAATCCCGGCTAACTTATATTTATTACCCGGACTATCGGCTCGGCTAAAAATAGGATAATCCCATATTAAAAGTTGGTTAGTAGTTAAATGCCATGACGTCAATGCTTTTGAAAGCAAAACTGGAAGATCTTTTACAAGTAGAGTTTCTGTTTGTTCGGCCTAGCTCAGCCAGGTGCCTACACTGGCTGCGTCTGTTGTCAACTGTTAGCCGTATCTATGTGTACACGGCGGTATATATTCATGTGTGACTTATCGGAAATCGATCAAATGGTGATCAATACGTACAACCTTTTCAATGGGGTGGTGTGCTTGAAATTGAGAAAATAAAATATTTCTACGTGTAGGAGTTTTCGCTTTCTTCTTGTTGCTCTGCGCAGTGTGTTTGCGCATACGTGCAAGTGAAATTCTATGACGTTAGGGTCAGCTAATCGCGAAGTTTGATTCATGTTTGCGGTGTGTTTTTATTGACGTGGAGTGACAGCTCTAAGTGTACTTTTGGATATTGTTCCAGTCACATGCCAGGATAAGATCTCTTTCTAAAGACAGCCGGCATTTGACGGCACTTGTTGTGGCGTTTATGCGAGAAAGATTTACTCGGCAAAACAAATTTTTCCTACCTGGATTTATGAAACACCAGCGTGAATTTTGTTAACGGAGATCATATTTGATTCAATGACAGAAGTAATACATTTAAATATACCCCTAGGGGTATCATGAATTGTAGATGATTGATAAAAATTTGAAATCAAGTAAAAAGTGCAAGTAGTTTTGAAATTATAATGACGACAGCTGTTGGACTTTTGTTTTCAGGTAAAATAGTTCGTTCCTAAATTAGAGCAATGTGTTTGAAAATCAGTAGTCCAAAACAGTGTGTCAGACAGTGTGTCATACAGGCAGTATGTCATACAGGCAGTATGTCATACAGTGTGTCATACAGGCAGTGTGTCAGACAGGCAGTGTGTCAGACAGTGTATCATATAAAAAGAGTGTATTACAGTAGGTCAGACAGACAGTGTGTCAGACGGAAAGTGTGTCAGACAGACAGTGTGTCAGACAGACAGTGTGTCATACTGGCAGTGTGTCAGACAGACAGTGTGTCAGACAGGCAGTGTGTCAGACAGGCAGTGTGTCAGACAGTGTGTCATACATGCAGTGTGTCAGACAGTGTGTCAGACAGGCAGTGTGTCAGACAGTGTGTCAGACAGTGTGTCATACATGCAGTGTGTCAGACAGGCAGTGTGTCAGACAGGCAGTGTGTCAGACAGTGTGTCAGACAGTGTGTCATACATGCAGTGTGTCAGACAGTGTATCATATAAAAAGAGTGTATTACAGTAGGTCAGACAGACAGTGTGTCAGACGGAAAGTGTGTCAGACAGACAGTGTGTCAGACAGACAGTGTGTCATACAGGCAGTGTGTCAGACAGACAGTGTGTCAGACAGGCAGTGTGTCAGACAGGCAGTGTGTCAGACAGTGTGTCATACATGCAGTGTGTCAGACAGTGTGTCAGACAGGCAGTGTGTCAGACAGTGTGTCAGACAGTGTGTCATACATGCAGTGTGTCAGACAGGCAGTGTGTCAGACAGTGTGTCAGACAGTGTGTCATACATGCAGTGTGTCAGACAGTGTGTCAGACAGGCAGTGTGTCAGACAGTGTGTCAGACAGTGTGTCATACATGCAGTGTGTCAGACAGTGTGTCAGTCAGACAGTGTTTCAGACAGTGTGTCATACATGCAGTGTGTCAGACAGGCAGTGTGTCAGACAGACAGTGTGTCAGACAGACAGTGTGTCAGACAATGAGTCCTACAAAACCTTGTTTGTGCGGGATGAGTTGACATGCAAAAAACCCGAGAGTCTGTACAATTGAGAATTCAACCTTCTACATTCGAACTGTGCCATGACTGTAAATCTTCTTGTCTGCACGGGTGGCTAATTAACAGAGTAATTAGTCGGGTAATTAACCACCACGATTATCCTTAGGGCACACAAAACTCTAGAAAATTATTCTCATTAATGATGGAAGTAATGGTCCTCATTAATAATGGAAAAAATATTGTGTATGAGATGATTTTTTATTAATATTAGATGAAAAATTGTCTTAAATTCCATGTATTATGTATAGTAACCTGTATAGTTCAAACGTCATTACTTTAATTTATTCCACCTAGAATCTTAACGAGACTTTACGCATACGAAGATATATACTCTCTTATTCCCAACGTGAGAACCTCTCTTTACTAGAGTTCTAGACCAGACTATTCCGACCTAGCCTCTAGACCAGACTTTTAGTTAATCCACATCTTGGTTCTAATCTTGCCCCAGACATTCTAATTTCCGGCAGGTCTTAGTTTGATTGTACTTAATAGTTCACTCAACAAAATGATTTTAAAATTAGCCTACATGGGCTACTAATTTGTAAGTCAAGTGGGTTATCTCAACTCCATTTTATTCTCTACAAGTACTATCCGGAAAAGTGCTATAGGAAGAAAAAAAAAACAATTTGAAAAAAATGTCTTAATGTATTCAGTGTAATTATATTTGTTAGCATCACAAATATTGTACCTGAGGAATTTTCACCTACTGATTAGTGCATCTAAGGCACTAGGGGCTAGCCTAACGAGTGCCGCTACAGCACTTGATGTTAGGCTATTGTTGGAACAAGGCGCCACTAAGGCACTAGAAGCTAGGCTATCAGTGTAAACCAGTGCCAATGTCCTACCGCTAGAACATACGTCACTGACAAGCGCTCTCCATGAAACTTGATCCTTACCCAGTTGCCATAATTGCTCCAGTTGTTGTCCATCTATCTCGTGCCGCTCTCCAAGTCACGTCTGCCAGTTATTCCTGGCATCCCCTGTCTTCTGCCCGGAGTTTTATCTACCGGCCTGTCAAGTTACCGTGTGGTCGTCTTGCCGGAACTGCTAAACTAGTTCAAACTGGAGCGAGGCTGACACAGATAACATAGTGCTGACATACATCTTATTCATTAGCAGAGCCGTCAGCACTGTCTTTCACTCGAACACAACTGGTCATACGTCTTAGGTCTAACATTACATGTCACATGTCATATGTCATAGGTCTAACATTACATGTCACAAGTCTTAGGTCTAACATTACATGTCACATGTCTTATGTCATAGGTCTAACATTACATGTCACATGTCATATGTCATAGGTCTAACATTACATGTCACATGTCTTATGTCATAGGTCTAACATTACATGTCACATTTCTTAGGTCTAACATTACATGTCACATGTCTTATGTCATAGGTCTAACATTACAAGTCACATTTCTTAGGTCTAACATTACATGTCACATGTCATAGGTCTAACATTACATGTCACATGTCATAGGTCTGAAATTACATGTCACATGGCATAGGTCTGAAATTACATGTCACATGTCATAGGTCTGAAATTACATGTCACATGGCATAGGTCTAACATTACATTTCACACGACATAGCTTTGAAATCAGATGTCATAGGTCTCACATTAAATGTCACATGTCATCCTTCAAATGTCACATGTCTTATATAAATGTAATATGCCATAAATCTCACATCAGAATTCACATGTTATATGTCTCACATTACATGTCAGATGTCATACGTCAAATTTCATAAATCTTTTATCAAATATCACATGTCATGGGTCTCACATAACATGTCACTTATCGGATATAAAATGGCAAATGTTAAGATTATGTTGTAAATTGTCAAAATATTTCACAGTTATACACCTAACAGTATTGGTGAATTTCATTATATTTTCGGTAAGACTCATAGTTTTATTGGTTGTCGTTAGTTTTGAGCCAACGGTCAGTCTTATATAGCGCCTACCAGAATAACCCGTGTTTTATTGGTTGTCGTTAGTTGTGAGCCAACGGTCAGTCTTATATAGCGCCTACCAGAATAACCCGTGTTTTATTGGTTGTCGTTAGTTGTGAGCCAACGGTCAGTCTTATATAGCGCCTACCAGAATAACCCGTGTTTTATTGGTTGTCGTTAGTTGTGAGCCAACGGTCAGTCTTATATAGCGCCTACCAGAATAACCCGTGTCAGTCTGGCTGACCTTATCGTTATGTCAGGCTGATGTATTTTAATTTTTTTCTCCTGAAATTTATGCAAATGTGTGTCTGACAAAAAATCTGTCAGATGTCTGACCACAGGAATTTTGGCCTCAAACAAAAAAGCTGATCCTGCAGCTTTCGTTGATTGATGACCAGGGGCGATAACCACGGCTTGAGATTAGACGCTCGTGTACTAAGGGCCGGTACTCAATTGTAGGTTCTATTTCTTAGCGGCTGGGTTTATTTTGTTTGGACTTTTTAACTACATTAATTACAGCGACTTGCTTGAACTGGATTTAAAAGTTTGTAGAATTTGTCTCTGAAAGCGTGGGACAGTAATTGTAAGAGCGGACAGCACTGTTGTGAAGAATATGAGATTCAGAGGGAGTATATGGATGAGCCATTGTCGTCCAGACTGAGTGATGGGTCACTTTTACTTAGTGACAGGTCACCTAGAGTAAGTGATGGGTCACTTAGTAACTGGTCACCTAGAGTAAGTGATGGGTCACTTTTACTTAGTGACAGGTCACCTAGAGTAAGTGACGGGTCACTTAGTAACTGGTCACCTAGAGTAAGTGATGGGTCACTTTTAATAAGTGACAGGTCACCTAGAGTGTGTGATGGGTCACTTTTACTAAGTGACGGGTCACCTAGAGTAAGTGACGGGTCACTTTTGCTTAGTGACAGGTCACCTAGAGTGTGTGATGGGTCACTTTTACTTTGTGACAGGTCACGTAGAGTGACCGGTCACGAAGAACCAGCAAGATTCACGCAGCTTGACTGAGGATCACCAAATTATCTACGTCCATATTATGAAGATCAGTTCAGCTCTAGTAAGATTCTGTCACCAGAACCATAGACCCTGAACTTAATTGTTCAACTTTAAGGGATTAGCGTGGTTGGGTCGGTAAAGCTCATGCTAAATCAGAAATTCCCGTCTTTGAGCCCCTGGCAGAAGAGGCTCGTTAGCTAGGGAGATCAACACATATAGAAGAGACAACTCCAAACTCAAGTAACTGCTGGTTTGTTCTTGGATACAAAGCTATAGAAGCAAACTCAAAAATAGGCTGAAGTCTGATTTAACGATTTACAGTGCACATAACAAGTTGACACGTAATACTGAATTGTGTTGTAGGAAAACTTGTCCAACATAACAATTAAAAACGAAGAAAAAGACGTTAACATTTAATCGAGTTAAATATATGTGACCTGTCGACATGTTAAGCTCAGCCGGAGAGTACTTGGGTCTACTAAAACTAGAGAAACCCTTGCCGCAAGTAGATAGAGGAATTTTTAATTTGCCATTTCATTTCATATTTTGTAGTTGCATGACGAGGAAATTGAAAATCTGGGTAAATTGAAATCTATATCTGTTGAGTTTTACTTAATCTTCTAAGGAGTGTAGGAGATTCTGGCAATTCAGGTGTCTGAAAGTCTTCCATGCATCTTAGTTGTGGTTATGCTAATCCTGTAGACTAGAAAAATGTGTCCTTATTCTGTCGTCTGGGATATTTATCCTCATCCTGATTTAATCAACATCACCCCCGTCTTGTCGTGACAGTAATTGGGCCTTTGGTGTCGTGTTGGAATAAATAAATCGTAATATCTTGTCGCGACAGTAATTGGGCCTTTGGTGTCGTGTTGGAATAAATAAATCGTAATATCTTGTCGCGACAGTAATTGGGCCTTTGGTGTCGTGTTGGAATAAATAAATCGTAATATCTTGTCGCGACAGTAATTGGGCCTTTGGTGTCGTGTTGGAATAAATAAATCGTAATATCTTGTCGCGACAGTAATTGGGCCTTTGGTGTCGTGTTGGAATAAATAAATCGTAATATCTTGTCGCGACAGTAATTGGGCCTTTGGTGTCGTGTTGGAATAAATAAATCGTAATATCTTGTCGCGACAGTAATTGGGCCTTTGGTGTCGTGTTGGAATAAATAAATCGTAATATCTTGTCGCGACAGTAATTGGGCCTTTGGTGTCGTGTTGGAATAAATAAATCGTAATATCTTGTCGCGACAGTAATTGGGCCTTTGGTGTCGTGTTGGAATAAATAAATCGTAATATCTTGTCGCGACAGTAATTGGGCCTTTGGTGTCGTGTTGGAATAAATAAATCGTAATATCTTGTCGCGACAGTAATTGGGCCTTTGGTGTCGTGTTGGCATAAATAAATCGTAATATCTTGGCGCTGTGATGAGCGCAGTCTGGAAATATACGAGATAAAATATTTTGGCTAACATATCTAGAAAGAGTAAACTAAGTAAGACAAATTACAGGACAATAAAGTAAGACATTACAGGCTAGTAAAGTAAGACAACCAACAAACTAACAAAATTAAGACAGACTACAAACTAACAAATAGTTAATAAACTATAATAGTACGGGCTAACAAATGGTTAACAAAGGGTTAACAAAGCTAACCACGTGATAATGAAGATATCTGAATCTCATTAACACATGTCTGATGTGACAAAAATAGAAACATACCACGTGACCGGAGTTCAAATCCAATTTTTAAGCAGTTTTTTTTTCTATTTATGATAAGACGTCTGATAGCCAGAGACTGGACGGTTAGACGTCAGATGGCCAGACACTTGACGGTTAGAGTCTGGTAACCAGACACTGGACGGTTAGACGTCTGGTAGCCAGAGACTGGACGGTTAGACGTCTGGTAGCCAGACACTGGACAGTTAGACGTCTGGTAACCAGACACTGGACAATTAGACGTCTGGTAGCCAGAGACTGGACAGTTAGACGTCTGATGGCCAGACACTGGACGGTTAGACGTCTGATGGCCAGACACTGGACGGTTAGACGTCTGGTAGCCAGACACTGGGCGGTTAGAAGTCAGATGGCCAGACACTTGACGGTTAGACGTCTGGTAGCCAGACACTGGACGGTTAGACGTCTGGTAGCCAGACACTGGACAATTAGACGTCTGGTAGCCAGACACTGGACTGTTAGACGTCTGGTAGCCAGACACTGGACCGTTAGACGTCAGATGGCCAGACACTTGACAGTTAGACGTCTGGTAGCCAGACACTGGACAGTTAGACGTCTGGTAGCCAGACACTGGGCGGTTAGACGTCAGATGGCCAGACACAGGACGGTTAGACGTCAGATGGCCAGACACTGGACGGTTAGACGTCAGATGGCCAGACACTGGACGGTTAGACGTCTGGTAGCCAGACACTGGACAGTTAGACGTCTGATAGCCAGACACTGGACAGTTAGACGTCTGGTAGCCAGACACTGGACGGTTAGACGGACGTCTGGTAGCCAGACACAGGACGGTTAGACGTCAGATGGCCAGACACTGGACGGTTAGACGTCAGATGGCCAGACACTGGACGGTTAGACGTCTGGTAGCCAGACACTGGACAGTTAGACGTCTAGTAGCCAGACACTGGACAGTTAGACGTCTGGTAGCCAGACACTGGACAGTTAGACGTCTGATAGCCAGACACTGGACAGTTAGACGTCTGGTAGCCAGACACTGGACGGTTAGACGGACGTCTGGTAGCCAGACACAGGACGGTTAGACGTCAGATGGCCAGACAATGGACGGTTAGACGTCTGGTAGCCAGACACTGGACGGTTAGACGTCTGGTAGCCAGACACAGGACGGTTAGACGTCAGATGGCCAGACACTGGACGGTTAGACGTCAGATGGCCAGACACTGGACGGTTAGACGTCTGGTAGCCAGAGACTGGACAGTTAGACGTCTGGTAGCCAGAGACTGGACGGTTAGACGTCTGATAGCCAGACACTGGACGGTTAGACGTCTGATAGCCAGAGACTGGACAGTTAGACGTCTGATAGCCAGACACTGGACAGTTAGACGTCTGGTAGCCAGACACTGGACAGTTAGACGTCTAGTAACCAGAGACTAGACAGACGTCTGGTAGCCAGAGACTGGACGGTTAGACGTCTGGTAGCCAGACACTAGACAGTTAGACGTCTGGTAGCCAGACACTGGACAGTTAGACGTCTGATGGCTTGTGTGGGAATGTAACAGCCGTTTATATTTTCTGAGTTTTCTCTTTGCATTAATTATTTCTAAAGTATGTAGATATAGCTTCGATTTGCTAAAAGCGTTAATTACTAGTAAGAATGTGCGTCTGCGATTTTAAATTAAAATTGGCCTCGAGAATTAGGTTTGTTAATTAATTAATTAATGGCTGAGATTTCACGCTTGGTGAAAAACTGTAATTAAAAATTAATTAATTGTCAAATTAAAAGATAATGTCTTTCCTTTGTCTAAAATGTAAAGCGAATATAGCTGATCATTCAGATTTAAAAATAGATATATTTTCTCACTGTTTCAATCAGTCCCGGGGCGTTGATAATATAACTGTCTAGCGATGGATTTGGAGCGAGAGCCATCTTTTGATCTACATTTTTGATCTACTTTAAATAATAACCATTTTAACTTACTTTTATTTAATGCTATTTCTGTTTTAAAATACTTTATATAATAGCAGCTTTAAACTACTTGAGCAAATCATCCCACCTGTAAAATCTAATGACCCCTTTCAAAAGAATGTCCTTGTTAAAACCAATATCCCCTGACCAATGTCCCCTGACCAATGTCCCCTGTGGAAGCTAATGTCCTCTGACCAATATCCCCTGACCAATGTCCCCTGACCAATGTCCTCTGACCAATGTCCCCTGACCAATGTCCTCTGACCAATATCCCCTGACCAATGTCCCCTGACCAATGTCCCCTGACCAATGTCCCCTGACCAATGTCCCCTGACCAATGTCCCCTGACCAATGTCCCCTGACCAATGTCCCCTGACCAATGTCCCCTGACCAATGTCCCCTGACCAATGTCCCCTGACCAATGTCCCCTGACCAATGTCCCCTGACCAATGTCCCCTGACCAATGTCCCCTGACCAATGTCCCCTGACCAATGTCCCCTGACCAATGTCCCCTGACCAATGTCCCCTGACCAATGTCCCCTGTGAAAGCTAATGTCCCCTACCATTTCTACTCTACGGAGCAGGTGAGGAGCATACCAACAGCGCCAAGAAAAGACGCCAACATGCCTACGCCAAGGACCTGGAGCTTCAGATGCGAGAGAATGAAGCAGCCAAACTCAGGTAATACTTGACTCGGGCCAAACTCAGGTAATACTTGACTCGGGCCAAACTCAGGTAATACTTGACTCGGTGTAAACATCTGGTAGGATCATAGTGGGCAGGTAGACCACAGACAGACCACAGACGTTGTGCAGACCACAAACCTTATATAGAACCACAAACTTTATGTAGGACCACAAAATGTATGTAGGACCACAAACTTTATGTAGGACCACAAAGTTTATCTAGGACCACAAAATGTATGTTGCACCACAGACAACATGCAGACCACGAACTTTATTTAGCACCACAAACTTTATGTAGGACCACAAAATGTATGTAGGACCACAAACTTTTTGTAGGACCACAAAATTATGTAGGACCACAAAATTATGTAGGACCACGAACTTTATGTAGGACCACAAACTTTATGTAGGACCACAAACAGCATAAAGAACCACAATTGTATGTACAATCACAAAAAGCATAAAGGTCCACAATTGTATGTACAATCACAAAAAGCATAAAGGACAACACTGTAAATAGGACCACAACCAGCAAGATTTGCCCCTGTGAAGAAAAGGACACGATATGTCTATAATACATATAACAGTATTTGAGAACTTTACGAGTTGATCTTGTCCTGTTGGAGCCTAACACCTAGCATAAAAACAAAACTAAATTAATGTGGTAAACAACAACATGACGCAACAAACTTTTAATTGTTTACATTTTAACTCACACGTAAACAATCTCCGTACAGGTAATGCCGCAACATGTCCTTGTCAACTTCCTGATTCATGTTTGTCAATTTCTTTAATCAGTTTATTTTTATGTCTAATTGTTCGCCAATTCATTCAATCTTAGCTTAAAATTTCAATTTAATTTTTGTCTCATTCCCCACAACAATTTTAACATTTTTAGCTTAGAATTTAATTTAATTTTCTCTCATACCACGAAGCTCTCTAACCAAAAGAATTCTAATTTCTCACCATAGATTGTTCGAACAATATCCCTAACGTTTTTTTTTCCTTTCCCGTTCGTGCCCAAGACACATAAGGCGGATGAAGTAGAGTTCAACTTTTTAAAATGACCTTGGCATATGACGGGGTAGTGTTGTCAGCACGATGTACAGCCCATGTTTCCCTAACGTGATTCAGGTACCAATCAGAACTGAGTAAACTCAGGTACGTCCTACGGACAGTCAGGTACCTTTCAGAGCTGGGTGGGCTCAGGTACGTCCTACAGACAATCAGGTACCCATCAGAGCTGGGTGGACTCAGGGACGTTTTACATACAGGCAGGTACCCATCTGAGCTGAGCTGACTCAGGAACGTTCTACAGACAGTCGTGTACTTATTTCAGCTGAGTGGACTCACAGATTTGTGCTTGAGATCTGAACTTGAAACTTTTGGGTTAGCAGACGTGAGCTGCCACCGACCACGCCGTACCATATCCCTAATCTACTATGTTATAAGCCCCTATAACTTCTTTCTTCCAACTGCCCTCTGTAAAGTGCTCATTCTGGAACTTGTAGTCATGTCGTGTTGCAAGCCAATGTGATCCTTGTTTCCCTATGTACACCGTGTTATGCCCAGTTTTTCAATGTTTTTTCTCTGCCCTGTCCAGGGAGAAGTACCAGGGCATGAACGTCAATGCCTCGGGATGGCTGGATCCAGAGAAACGTCCCGACAGGCTCAAGCCCCTGGGCGGGGCGGGCTTCATGTCAGAGAGGAGTGGTCGTGACTCCAAGGTTAAACCATACCACACCCTGTTTCTGTACGGCAAGTAAGTCATTCAACCATACCACACCCTGTTTCTGTACGGCAAGTAAGTCATTGAACCATACCACACCCTGTTTCTGTACGGCAAGTAAGTCATTCAACCATACCACACCCTGTTTCTGTACGGCAAGTAAGTCATTGAACCATACCACACCCTGTTTCTGTACGGCAAGTAAGTCATTGAACCATACCACACCCTGTTTCTGTACGGCAAGTAAGTCATTGAACCATACCACACCCTGTTTCTGTACGGCAAGTAAGTCATTGAACCATACCACACCCTGTTTCTGTACGGCAAGTAAGTCATTGAACCATACCACACCCTGTTTCTGTACGGCAAGTAAGTCATTCAACCATACCACACCCTGTTTCTGTACGGCAAGTAAGTCATGGGTGGATGTGTGGTGGGTGTGTGGTGGGTGTATGTGTGGTGGGTGTGTGGTGGGTGGGTGTGTGGTTGGGGCTACAGGACATTACCCCCCTGGATATTTCCCCCCCCCCGGACATTTCCCATCCGTATTTACCCCCCGGAGCAATTACCCCCCTGTCAATTACCCCCCTGTCAATTACCCCCCCCCCGGGGAATTACCCCCCCCCCCTCTCAAGTTAAAATCCTAACTCTAACTAGAATTTTATACCTATATACTACTTTAATCCAAACCTTAAGAAAAAGACCAAAACCTAAGCATCCACCTTAGCCTAAAACTTCACACAAAACCAAAACCAAAGCTAGACACAACCCTAACCCTAAAACTAGCTCTAACCCTAACCCTAATCCTAACCCTAACCCTATCCCTAGCCCTAAACCTAGCCCTAACCCTAACCCTAACCCTAACCCTAACCCTAACCCTAAAACCTAACCCTAACCCTAACCCTAGCCCTAAAACCTAACCCTAACCCTAAACCTAGCCCTAACCCTAAAACCTAACCCTAACCCTAACCCTAGCCCTAACCCTAGCCCTAGCCCTAAACCTAACCCTAACCCTAGCCCTAACCCTAACCCTAACCCTAACCCTAACTCTAACCCTGTCCGGGGGGGGGGGGGGGGTAATGTCCTACTGGGCGGGGGGTAATTGACAGGGGGGTAATTGACAGGGGGGTAATTACTCTGGGGGGTAATGTCGGGGGGGAAATATCCGGGGGGTAATTGACAGGGGGGAAATGCCCTGTTCCCGTGGTTGGTTGTTGTGGTGGGTGGATGTTGTGATGTGTGGATGTTGTGTGGGGTGGATGGATTTCTGGTAGGTGGATATTGTGATGGGTGATATGTGGATGTGTGGTTGGCAGATGTGGTTGGACTGGCGCATATTGTATTGAAGCTAATGTAATTCAAAATCCACACGTTTGTTCTGTGAATCTTTTTATCCACACCACCAATATTCGAGTAAGCCTATATGTTAACTGCGCAAATTTTTCAACATTTACATTGTATCCTTGTCCCCATCATTTTTCAGTCATTCAAATAATCTAACCACAAATAAATAAATTATCAACATGTGCTGCATATTTCTCACAGGCTAAATTAGACGTCAAAGTATTCAATAAAACTCTGTGAAAAGATTATATATGAGTATTGAATACAACTCTTCATAGAGCTTTTGATCCATGATTGAATTTAATTAATATCATGTGTTGCATTAATTAGCCAAGTATGCCATCGTGTAACGACTTAGTTAACTCGTGATAAGTGTTTTTAAAAAAAACAAAGAAGTTTTAAACTGCTACAACAAAGTGTAAATAGAATTAACTCAGGGTGTCGCCTCTCACTAATCCCTGCACTTGTATCTAACGAAATGCACCTTTTGTCTTGCACGAACAACACGGCTGGTTGCACAGAATAGTCTGCATACACGTTTAGCTCTGGTGTTTACACAACTAGCTGTGTTCAGTCTCTGTTTGTTGCTACATGCAGACCTTTCGCGCCCAGCAACCCAGAGTTTGGGAAAACATGAACACAACTTTTATACGGGAGACTCATCTCCGTCGCTAATTGTTCTGCTCATTAATGTTAACAGCGCAAGGTTTTCTAATTAAAACAATCAGAGATTCATTGTTCAAATAACACTTGTAATATTTTATAGGTTAATTGTGTTTGGTGTACCGCTTTACGCTTGAAGAATAGCGCTGTTATTTGCGTTCCTCCGAGTGCTATAATCATCATTTTCGTTGAATTAAAAGAATGAAAACCAAACAAACCTAAGCAAATATTACATAGAAGAAAATTCTCTTAACCCTTTTAATCCTGCTAGGGTCCCACAAGATGGAACCTTTAACCAGAGGGAGGTAGAACCCCCCCTGGGGCTGGGTCGGTCCCCCCGTGAGGTGGTCGATGTGGAGCCCATCCACCTCCGGACCTGGCAGCTACATTTAGATTCATCCGCCGGGCTCATGCACCACCCTCTGTGAGTTCAAAGTTCATATTTTAAGCTGCTCACTCTCAAGCATTGTATCTTGTAGGCAGTCATAGTTCTTTTTTTTAAAGTCTTGTAGGAAACGATAGTTATCTTTTTTTCAATTAACACCTTCATCAGTTCTAAATCACAGTACTACCAACAACAACTCTAATCAATGGTCATCTAAAAAATAAATTTTCTTCTGTTTCAAAATAATTCTAATTTTTTTTTTAAATGTTTTTACGCTGTCATTTATATATGTAAATGCACATTGTATACGTGAATAAAACGCGTAAATGTATTATCTTTTTGCGTAAGAAACCTTACCAATCCCCCCCCCTCCTCCCCGATTGTATAGCGTTGAAACAGCTTGTCTTTACGTCATAGAACACTTGAACTGTAACTAGGTTACAAGTATGTTACAACCTAAAGACCTACATGTGTGATATCCTACTTCAATGCTGACCTGTATAGACAACCCCCCCCCCCCCACCCCACCTCCAGCTCCCCTGCTCATTAGTTCAGTCTTGTGCCACCCAGCTGTTAATGACCGCCATCGACGTTATGTCACAAATGGAGCGACCCTTTTGTTTTTCCGCTAACCAGAAATCATTACGGCATCATCAATCAGGCTGAGATATAACGACGTGAATACATGTTACACGACGAGGTTGAACAACAAAGACAGGAATTACAACTGCTCCATATCTTTTGAACTTCAGGATGATTTTTCTTGAGTCAAAGATATAATACGTTAGGCCTAGTGCCAAAGGCTTCATAAGTATTCCTTGCCATTCTTCCAGTAGTTCTATCTCTGGTGTTTCTTCGCTCGGTAATAGACGTCATGATAGCTCCTTATGGAATGGACTTCGTGTATGTTCCCAGTCGTTTCTAACTTAAAGTCTAATCCCTTATCACAATCCTCTTGACTCACAAACAGCATTTAATGACCCTTACATAAAAGACGAATATACAAAGCTGTTCGTAGCGTTACCGTGAATGCAATGAGATAGCAGCAGTATACTGTATATGGTGGTTTGTCGCTTTAACTAGAAAACGCGGAAGTGACGTATGCTCCACGCGGCTGTCAATCGCCGGACTTGTTTGTGGTTTATGAACTAACTAAAAAAAACATGTTTACAAAGATTTGATGCTGGGGAAAAATAATTATAAAATCTAATGTTCGAAAACAATTATACTCTGCTGCATAAATTTAAAAATTCGCAAGAGAAAAACTGAAGAAAAAACAAAGATGGCTCCATAATTGTCTGTTAAAGAAAGTGTGTACTGTTTTTGTTTGAGTGCTAATGATCGCAAGCTCTAACTACCATAACAGCTTAACTAGGCATACGCAACATATGTAATAGCGTAACTACCCAATGTCATTAGACTTCACACCAACAATAAACCAGTCAGACGTCACACCAACAATAAACTAGTCAAACTTCACACCAACAATAAACTATTCAGACTTCACACCAACAATAAACTATTCAGACTTCACACCAACAATAAACTAGTCAGATGTCACACCAACAATAAACTAGTCAGACTTCACACCAACAATAAACTATTCAGATGTCACACCAACAATAAACTATTCAGACTTCACACCAACAATAAACTAGTCGGACTTCACACCAACAATAAACTATTCAGATGTCACACCAACAATAAACTATTCAGATGTCACACCAACAATAAACTATTCAGATGTCACACCAACAATAAACTAGTCAGATGTCACACCAACAATAAACTAGTCAGACTTCACACCAACAATAAACTATTCAGATGTCACACCAACAATAAACTAGTCAGACTTCACACCAACAATAAACTAGTCAGACTTCACACCAACAATAAACTAGTCAGATGTCACACCAACAATAAACTATTCAGATGTCACACCAACAATAAACTAGTTAGATGTCACACCAACAATAAACTATTCAGATGTCACACCAACAATAAACTATTCAGATGTCACACCAACAATAAACTATTCAGATGTCACACCAACAATAAACTAGTCAGACTTCACACCAACAATAAACTAGTCAGACTTCACACCAACAATAAACTAGTTAGATGTCACACCAACAATAAACTAGTTAGATGTCACACCAACAATAAACCAGTGAGACGTCACACAAACAATGAACTAGCCTGACGTCACACAGACAAAGAACTAGCATGACGTCACACAGACAATTAACTAGCCTGACGTCACATAGACCACAACCTAGCTAGTCTGACGTCACACAGACAATCAACTAGCCTGACGTCACACAGACAATCAACTAGCCTGACGTCACACAGACAATCAACTAGCCTGACGTCACACAGACAATGAACTCGCCTGACGTCACACAGACAATCAACTAGCCTGACGTCACACAGACAAAGAACCAGTTAGACGTCACACAGACAATGAACTCGCCTGACGTCACACAGACAATCAACTAGCCTGACGTCACACAGACAATAAACTAACCTGACGTCACACAGACAAAGAACCAGTTAGACGTCACACAGACAATGAACTAGCCTGACGTCACACAAACAATGAACTAGCTTGACGTCACACAAACAATGAACTAGCCTGACGTCACACAGACAATGAACTAGCCTGACGTCACATAGACCACAACCTAGCTAGCATGACGACCCACACACACAAAACAAAACGACTCTTTTTTTTCTGCACAGCTTTGCTTAATTAAACGGTTTTATTAACTTATTTCATTGTTTTTCAATCAATTATTTTCAAACCAACTTTCTTTTAATGTGTGATTTAATTCGCCATTTTCAAAGTAACGTTCTAATCATTATCCCAACCTTTGACCGCATGTACTCTCTAATCCCTATCCCAACCTTTGACCTCCTGCACTAACTAGTCCTTATATATAAATCCTCCAATTGTCCATTATCTAGCAGTGAATTGAGATTTGATTACTAAAGCAATTTTAAAATAAATTTATTTATTTATTGTTTTAGCTTTTTAAAGAAATTTAATTTGTCTAACAGTACGCATGATATCATTTTACATTTGATTTAGATGTAATGTATATGTATTTTAATTATGTCTTGAAAGGCTGGGTCATCCAGTGTAGTGTGAATGTCATTTAAATGTCAAATATAACTGACCTCTATAGATTTAAGTCCTGTCAGTTTGTGAATGTCATTTAAATGTCAAATGTCACTGATCTCTACGATTTAAGTCCTGTTAGTCTGAATGTCATTTAAACGTCAAATGTAACAGACATCTACATATTTAATATGATGCTATAAATCTGCCCATTGTGCTATAAATCTGCCCATTGTGTTATAAATCTGCCCATTGTGTTATAAATCTGCCCATTGTGTTATAAATCTGCCCATTGTGTTATAAATCTGCCCATTGTGTTATAAATCTGCCCATTGTGTTATAAATCTGCCCATTATGCTATAAATCTGCCCATTGTTTCAGCACTGAGGCGACAGCAGGGAACCTGAAGATCAACGACTCTGTGGACAACGCTTACAATTTCTACGCCACAAGGGACCTGGACCGTCCGTGTAAGCTAGTCGTGATTACATCCACTTACATGGTGTAGCCCAACTACATGAATACATACAGTTATATGTCATCATAGCCCAATTACATGAATACATACACTTACATGTTATGGTATAGCACAACTACATGAATACATACACTTACATGTATAGCCCACTACATGAATACATACAGTTACATGTTATGGTGTAGCCCAACTACATGAATACATACACTTACCACAAATGGTGTAGCCCAACTACATGAATACATACAGTTATATGTCATCATAGCCCAATTACATGAATACATACACTTACATGTTATGGTATAGCACAACTACATGAATACATACACTTACATGTATAGCCCACTACATACAGTAACATGTTATGGTGTAGCCCTACTCCATGAATACATACACTTACATGTAATGGTGTAGCCCAACTACATGAATACATACACTTACATGTAATGGTGTAGCCCAACTACATGAATACATACACTTACATGTAATGGTGTAGCTCTACTCCATGATTACATCAATGCTCATATTATAACACTACTACGTAAGCTTGCATGACTAATACATAACATTCGTTAAAGATTGCTATCAAGTGTAACATTCTAGCTACACCCTCCCACCCCCACCCTAATAGAAATACCTGGTAATTTGTAATATTTTTTTTTTTATTTCAGCGGCCTTTGGTTCTATCGTACAGCCTTTAGTGGTCCCATATGTTGACAACAGACCAATCATAATGCCAGGACGATATGAGGGGGGCAGGTAGGTTGTTAACGTGTCTAGTCATTGGTCAATGTAGTGGCTGGTAGGTTGTTAACTTGTCTAGTCATTGGTCAATGTAGTGGCTGGTAGGTTGTTAACTTGTCTAGTCATTGGTCAATGTAGTGGCCGGTAGGTTGTTAACTTGTCTAGTCATTGGTCACTGGAGTGGCCGGTAGGTTGTTAATTTGCTTCTTATTGGTCAATATAGGGACAGGTAGGTTATTAACTGAATTAGACTATATTATACTAAACCATGCCAAGCACTATTATATTGAGAATAAAGACATAAAAATAGTGGTAGCGGCCTGCACACATTTCCTCTAAAATAAAGCCATTCTTGAGCTAAAAGCTACGATATTGAGACGGGTTTCTAAACCAATTACCCCAAATCTCCAAAACGAAGTTATTACCGTCTTTAGGAGAGCACTTTTAAAGCTATTAGGCCCAATAGTGTACAGCGTGAAGCCTGTTAAGTAGACTTTAGTAAGGATTTGCCTCGAGTCAGAGAGGATTAACGCTCCCTATGAAACAGACCACCGTTCTCTGCAAGCAAACGTCAGTTTTACAGTGTTGATAATAAATAAGTTTAAACTTGATCACGTGGGCTGTCAATTAATTGTTGCATCCTAGACGAGAAGAAATAACTAATTGCGTGTACTACAGAATAACACCAATTCACCGGTTTTGTAGAGTGCGTTTCATTTATTTTCTAAAAGATTAATACTCTTTTAATTAATTAGCTTTAAAGAACACCGTACTACAAAAAACTAAACAACGTTTGTAGCACTGGTCTCCGGAGTTGATCTTTTGTGTTTATTTCTCAACGAATCTTTGAAACAACGCTTTAGAACAAATTCGGGAACGAATTTTATAAACTTTTTATTCGATTAACGCTCTACAATAAATACTGGAACAAAGTTCTAGACTACATCATTCGAACAACACATAAGGACAAATCCTGGAACAAAGTTCTAGAATACATCATTTGAACAACACTGTATAATAAAACTTTTGAACATCACTATAAACCGAATCTTTCAAACAATCCTTTAAAAAGTTCATTAAAAATAAACAAGTAATTAAAAAAAGTCTAGTGACAATTTTAGCGCAATTTCCTTGTGTTATCTAAAAATAGCTCTGTCGTAGCGTAAATCAAGAGCAGGGTTAGTAAAACCATTGGTTAGTTATTAAAACGTTTTTTATTAATATTTTTTCAGTATTTTACATGTTTTATTTACAACAGAGTAACATGACTAAAAACCATTGCGCGCCTACTGAACGTGATGACGCAGCCATTGAACGTGATGGCGCAGCTATTGAACGTGATGACGCGTGTGGTGTGGTTGCATAAAATGCCTACTAATTCGGTCCAAATTTTAATTAATTCAAAAAATTGTTTGTGACCGAACGAAAGGATATTTTTGAAAACTTTCTTCGGCAATATTGTTCTAAATTATGGCAGGAATCGATTGGTACATGTTTCAAGTCGCTAAGTGGTCTGGTTGCCGAGATATGGGCCAAAAACTGCATTTTCTCGAGGTTTTTTGGCTTTTCCGGGAAATCCATGAAAGAAACCCGGAATTTTTATGGCCTATGTTCATCCTCGTAACTTGCTTAACATAATTGCTTTTGGAACTAGTCCTCGATATTGCTTCGTTGAGGAGGAGATACGACTTAAAGCTGCGGACACACATCCATCCATTCATCCATTCCCAGAAAAGACGAGTTAATAAACGCAATTCTCCAGAATGGAAATTGCGCTAAAAATCTATAATCACTAACTCGGTGTAGGTACGAAATCGAAGCATTATTACCTAGAATCGATACCTTAATCTTGTCTCTATGTCTAAAGTCGATATCGTCTAAAAAAATCATCGGCACGATATTTTCTCTTTTCGCGTTTTAGAAGAACTCAAAACAAGCTCTAGATCTAAGCTCTTAAATAATCTCTGACAAAATTGATTTACGCGCTTTTTTTTTTTTTAAACTTTCAGATGCTTGTTTTTAATTTACGTTATTTTCTACTCAACTTTTTTTTCTATTCCAGTGACTATCATTTTTACTAACTCAACTTTTTTCAATTCCAGTGACTATCATCCGAAATACAACCCATTCGACCATGACAAAGGTAATTATCTTAACCTATCTGTACTAGTGCGATAGTAGCATTGGCATTACATGATAGCCTCTAGAAAATTGGTGAAATAGTGTAACCTAACACCGCTTTGGGGAAGAGCTACCAGAATCTAGAAGAAGACTATAGGGATTAGAAACGTGGTTCAATATTGTCACCTAATACTGCCGAGATGAAGAAGAAGACGATGAGTTTTGAAAGTTGGTTAAATATTATGACCTAATACTGCCGTAATAAATCACCATCATAATCGCCAAAACGAACTATCGACAGATATTTGTGTCACTGAGGCACCTCAGTTAAATATCTAAAAATCTTTCCACTAGTCCCACTCCCACCCCTTACACCCCCACCCTAGTCCCACTCCCACCCCTTACACCCCCACCCTAGTCTCCCCCTACACTTCCCACATCTCAACGTTTTCAAACTTGAACGAAAATATCGATTCAGACGGGACAAATTTAGACGCCATTTTTTAACGGCCAATTTTTTTAAAAAAATCTAACTCATATTTACTCAAGACAACGCGCTTTTTATCTTTAAAAAATATTATCCCAAGTCAGCTTCCCGTTAAATAATTTCCACCCCATTTCCCCAAACTCCAAAAAAAAAACATATTTAAAAAAAAATAATACTAAATGATTAATGTTGGTATTAAAATCATATAACTCAGTGTTTCACTGTAAAGTTGTCCTGATAATTATACGACTGAAAAGGTTTTCGGTGGAGACGAAGTGAAAATTAAAATGTGATCGGGACATCAAACACAGTTGTGGTCACTAGTCTAAAATCGTCGTTTCCTCAAGGACGAACCAGCTTTAATTGTGTCAACATCTTGTTAGATACCCTATGATGAAAGCGATCGCCATCTGTCACAAAATGTTTGGTGTGGTACCATCTAGTAGCCTGTCACAAAATGTTTGGTGTGGTACCATCTAGTATCCTGTCACAAAATGTTTGGTGTGGTACCATCTAGTAGCCTGTCACAAAATGTTTGGTGTGGTACCATCTAGTAAACTGTCACAAAATGTTTGGTGTGGTACCATCTAGTAAACTGTCACAAAATGTTTGGTGTGGTACCATCTAGTAAACTGTCACAAAATGTTTGGTGTGGTACCATCTCATAGCCTGTCACAAAATGTTTGGTGTGGTACCATCTAGTAGCCTGTCACAAAATGTTTGGTGTGGTACCATCTAGTAGCCTATCACAAAATGTTTGGTGTGGTACCATCTAGTAAACTGTCACAAAATGTTTGGTGTGGTACCATCTCATAGCCTGTCACAAAATGTTTGGTGTGGTACCATCTAGTAGCCTGTCACAAAATGTTTGGTGTGTGTCCTTGGTTGTTTCTGCTTATTGCGTTCCAATATGTCTGCGATACAGAGCATGACTTGACAAAACTGCATGACTTTATAGTCATGGCAACAACAATCCCGACCAAGATAAAAACTTGCATGACTGAAACTTGAAGTCAATGAATGACTTTAAATTTGTCAGTCCTACCAAGCAGTCACCCACCCCTACCTCCACACACATAAATCGACGCACTCGTTGAAGCACCGTGTCTTCCGTCCATTACAAAATTCTGGGTTAATCTCCCTTGCGCTAAAAATAGCCACGCTATTCGACTACAGATTTATTTCCCTTGGCCTCCTTTCTATTTTGTTCTCTCCCATTTCCGGTGATTAAAATAGTGAAAACACTTTGTGCTTGCATTTCTACCACTTGCCCTGAAGGCGGACAAAGTAGACAGCGATCGACCACTTGACTCAGGTGGTAAAACTGCTTTCAAAAGTCTGAAGTATTCGTGTCGGAAAGTAATCCATAAAATCGTTGAATCAAATTTTAACATTAGTTTTAAGTGCGTTTTAAAACTTTAATTTTAGACATGTTTCACAATTTGGGATTCTTAAATTATTGCATTAGGCAAATATTTTGGTCTTTAATTTATCTGGAGTTCAGTTTTGTCATTAACAGCAGATTCACTGGCAGTGTTGCTTCCAGATTTCTTTCACCTGGGGGGGGGCACTTGAAATGAGGGGCGGACACTTGTCAAAGTTTTCTATATAAATTCCATTTCGTTCGGAGGGGATGGACGTTAGGCGTTCTTCGCTCGCCGCCCCCCCCCCCCCCCCAAAAAAAATGCCTAGAAGAAAATCTATAGTGAACTGGTTCAATTAATAATGTGTGTGTACCAGGTGTTGAGTGATACATGTCCATGTAGAGAATGTGTGAATTATGTGTGTGAATTATGTGTATGAATTATGTGTGTGAATTATGTGTGTGAATTATGTGTGTGAATTATGTGTGTACCAGATGTTGAGCGACACAATTGACGTGAACATTGAATGGTGACATTAGCGCACCAAACAATGCGTACAGTTCGTCACGAGGTTCCAAGGTCGGAATGGATACATTATCCCAGATCTTTGAGGATTAATCTGCCGCACCACCCCCACCCCCGTCCCCAGCTAACGAGAAAAAACTGACACAAGCTAACTCCCAGAAATCACCGGTAGAATTGGAAGAACTTTGAAATCAGATCGAGGGTCAAAGATTTTGAAACGTCTAGTTTTTCTGGCGTCGCATTAAAGATTGTTCTGCCTAGGGGTATTGGGGCTGGGACTGGGGGTGGGGACTGGGTCGTGGACGCGAGGTTTGATTGGCTAAGTGGGCAGGGGAAGGTGACACAGCAGTGCGAAATGTAAAAATAGACGTGTTTTATTTTCAGATGTAATGGCCATCTTGTGAAGAGGCCATTTTTGGTGGAATAATCATTTGATGGAGCTATCATTTGATTCGGCCAACATGCGATAGAGCTATTATGTGAAGGGGCCATCGTTTGATGGGCCAACATTAGATGGGGGCCATCATGCGATATACACTTACATGAAGGGGCCGCCATTTTATGGGGCCACCTTGTGACGGGGCCATCATTTGATGGGGCCATCATTTGATGGACCCACTATGTGAAGGGGCCAAAATTTGATGGGGCCACCGTGAGATGAGAGATGACCCCATGCAGTTACTTCTCTACCTAAAGTTGTTAAACTCTTACGTTAATCCATTTACTCACATTACTAGCAGCCATTAATCCTTTTATCCTAACTCCCCAGACAGCGGATTACAGAAAGATATTAGAGCTTTGCTGGGGGTCACACAGGTAGGCTTACTATTTGAAGCTTAGCTCTAGCTCACTGGACTCTAGCTCATTATTTTAATTTAGCTCTAGCTCACCATCTGAATTTAGCTCTAGCTCACGATTTGAATTTAGCTCACCATTTGAATTTAGCTCTAGCTCACCATCTGAATTTAACTCTAGCTCACCATCTGATATTTAGCTCTAGCTCACCATTTTAATTTAGCTCTAGCTCTTCTCACCACAAGCTCACCATGTGAACGCTAGCACTAGTTCACTATTTCACGTAACAACAACACACCTTACAAGGGACCAGCGTCATCTAGAACTTGGTTAATGTAAAACTACAACACAGGATCACTAGATAATAGCACCATTAGGTGCTGGTAGCATCGACAGCTGTGTGTGATGGGAGGTGGGGGGTGGGGGTGTTAAAAAAACCAATATCTTAACACCATAGTCTCCTGTGGGTAATAGGGGTGGGGGGGGGGGTAGTCTCACACAAAAAAAAAATCTTAATATCAGTCTTGTTGCATTTTAGTTTATACTGTAAAACCTCAACCTTTAAATTGTCCCAGCATATAGTTCGTGTCTCACTTAACATATAGATCTATGTACACTAGGATACACATTCATCATGCCAACACTTTTCTTTGCCTGGTGTATGCCTAATTTATTGTTTGTGTATACATTATATAAAACCTATTTTAATGTATAAACACTGGGTTTTATATCTATGGTAACTTTCTCATACACCATATGACATATATACCTATTGTGAGTAACGTTTTTTACACCATATCCCATACACCATATACCAAATACACTATAGACGATATACACCTTATGCCATATACACACCATATCCCATATACACCATATACCAAATACATTATAGAACAAATACGCCTTATGCCATATACAAACCATATCCCATATACACCATATACCAAATACATTATAGAACATATACACCTTATGCCATATACACACCATATGCCATATACACCTATAATCAATAACATTCTTAAACACCATATACCACATACACTATATACCACACACACCATATGCCACACACACACCATACGCCACACACACACACACACCCTATGCCACACATCATATGCCACACACACCATAAGCCACACACACTGTACCACACACACCATATGCCACACACACACCATACGCCACACACACACACACCCTATGACACACATCATATGCCGCACACACCATATGCCACACACACTGTACTACACAAACACCATATGCCACACACACACCATATGCCACACACCCACCTTATGCCACACACCATATGCCACACACACCATATGCCACACACTCTGTACCATACACACCATATGCCACACACACCATATGCCACACAACCTGTACCATACACACCATATGCCACACACTCTGTACCATACACACCTAACTACTTCAGCTGGAGAGAGAGAGGACCAAGGCCCAGTTGGCCAGAGATAACGACGACTACCAGAGGAGGATGAGGAGAGAACTGGAGGAGGAGAGGAGGAGATTGATGGACCAGGAGAACGAGGTAAGGGTCAGGTCAATCCGGGTCAGGTCAATGAACTTCACCCAGGAAGTAACTGGTTAGTGTTGACTGACCCCCTTCATCGTATTGATGAGCACTGCGGGCTAAACTAGCCAATCGGAAGTGTTATCGCACGGTGTGGAAAGACCCTGTCACTTAAAACTGAGACACTGTCTGCATGTAGGTGTTCATAGCTGATGTCATATAACTGTATGCCCATATCTGTGTCCATGTTGACAGGCCCTGTTATAAAAACTGTATGTCTAAGTCCATTTTGTCAAAAAACTTCTATGTCAGTGTTGTTATAAACGTCTTTGTCTGTGTCCATGTTTACTGGCCTTGTGATAAACATGTATGTCTACGTCCATATAGACTGTCCCTGTCATAAACTGTATGTCTATGTCCATATAGACTGACCCTGTCATAAAACTGTATGTCTATGTCCGTGTTTACAGGCAAGACGACGGATGGAGCAGATGAGGAGAGACCTGGAGAACAAGAGACTGGAGTGGGAGAGGCAGAGGAGGGAGGCAGAGAGAGCCAAAAAGGAGAAAAAGTTGGTGAGTTGGTTGGTGTACATGGCAAGCGGTGTACATGACTTGTGGTGTACAAGACATGTGATTTACATGACGTTACAGGTTACATAACATCTTGAGCGCATAACGTTCGGTCTAGCTGACATCTAGTAAATGACATGTGATGTACGTGATGTGTGGGTTACACTGTATGTTGAATACATGACATTTGGTGTAGATAGATAACATATGGGAACATCTCGTGTAAATTATATCAGGTATCAACTTATTTATATATCATATAGCGCATTTTGACATTTAGTATGTTTGACATCTGGATCTAGATAAATGGACAATGCCATTTGCTTTGTGATATTTATATAATCAGGCTATATGTACCATGAATGCACCCCTTACGACAAGTTAGTTAACAGATGACAGAAACCAAATGACTGATATTGTACAATCAAATTTTTTGTTGTTGTAAAACTAAGACTTGAACTCAGTGACAGCTATTTACTGCCATAAACACTTTGCTCTTAGCTCACACCACCATTAATCTTGATGGTTTCCTTGCTACCCTCCACCCTTATCCCCACACCCACCCCTATCCACACCCCCACCCCTATCCCCACAACCATCCCTATCTGCACCCCACCCCTATCCCCACACCCACCCCTATCCACACCCCCACCCCTATCCCCACACCCACCCCTATCCACACACCCACCCCTATCCCCACATCCACCCCTACCCACACCCCCATCTTCCGCGCAATGCTGCTAACCCGTGTCTTCATGTTTTATTCCAGCCCAAAACACCGCCAGTACAGATTCGCCCTCCAAGTGAGTAACATGCATAGATGGCACTTCATTCTTACACTTACATCTGTCGTCATTACATCCTTACACCACAATACTACATGTACTTACATCTGACGTCATTACATTCTTACACCACAATACTACATGCACTTTCATTTGTCGTCATTACATTCTTACACCACAATACTACATCAACTTACATCTCTCCTCATTACATTCTTACACCACAATACTACATGCAATTACATCTGACGTCATTACATTCTTACACCACAATACTACATGCAATTACATCTGACGTCATTACATTCTTACACCACAATACTACATGCACTTACATCTGACGTCATTACATTCTTACACCACAATACTACATGTACTTACATCTGACGTCATTACATTCTTACACCACAATACTACATGCACTTACATCTGACGTCATTACATTCTTACACCACAATACTACATGCACTTACATCTGTCCTCATCACATGGAAATACTTGCTTACACCACAATACAACATGCACTGAAATCTATGGTCATCTGATGCAAATACCTGCTCACATTACAAACTATCCTAGACGTGTCCGAACTATCTTTGGTATCTCTTGTCTCTCTGATTGATGTGTTTGTAGACCAAAGGATTGAGAATGTGGAGATTGTTGCACATCTTAAGATAAGACAGCAGAGGCTTTATGTTTTATTTAATCACTTCAATACTTAGCGAGTTCACCGCTAGATTAACCTACTGCTGATCGAACATGTCATACGTCAAATTCTTTTATACTTTGTTTACAGCACCATTTTGCGATTTTTATATGGTACCACTTTGTGACAGTTTAAGTAACACTTGGTGAAGAGTAATGTATCATTTAGCTATCATTAAAACCACGTTGTGATCATTAATGTCCCACTTTGTGCTAATGAAGGTATCACTTTGGGATCATTAATGTCCCACTTTGTGCTAATGAAGGTATCACTTTGGGATCATTAATGTCCCACTTTATAATATTTAAGGTACCACTTTTGAATCATTAATGTCCCACTTTGTGCTGATGAAGGTACCACTTTGGGATCATTAATGTCCCACTTTATGATATTTAAGGTACCACTTTGGGATCATTAATGTCCCACTTTATGATATTTAAGGTACCACTTTGGGATCATTAATGTCCCACTTTATGATATTTAAGGTACCACTTTGGGATCATTAATGTCCCACTTTATGATATTTAAGGTATCACTTTGGGGTCATTAATGTCCCACTTTATGATATTTAAGGTACCACTTTGGGATCATTAATGCACAAAATTGTGGTACTTTTTTGAGTAACTTTGTCTACAAGTTCTAGACCCCTGCTATCAGCTATCAATCTGTGATGCCATCTACAGGTACCAACCTACTCAGCGATATGGACGACACACGAAGAAGATTAATTGACGAACGACGGAAGATCGAAGAGCTACTCCGGGCTCAAATGGTAAGTTTGTAATGACTGAACGTAATCACTTTCCCGTTGACCGATTTTTTTCTCCGCCTTCTACCCACATTTTCTCTACTTTTTTCGTCATCTATAGACCACGTGATGAACGGTACTGATAAAAAAAAATAGACCATTCCTGCCGAGGAAATTGTAAAAATGCAAAGGACTTCTGACAGAAAGATAACTGAGTCAGCGAAATGTCGGGAACAGATGATCAAATTTATTGATAAACAGGCAGTTGATGAAACACCTCAGGGAATCAAATCTCGCTTCCTCTTCCTTCTTTACCATACGCTTGTAACAACTGTCTTACCCAGCAACTTTTTTTTTCCTATGTGTGCGTATAATTATTAGATTAGTAACAAATTTAAGTAAGATAATCCTTTGAAAATGAAGTAAGTAGTAGCTATAATTGTAAGATCGTGCATTGTGTTATATAAACTTTCACGACTTTCACAAGTCATGTATAACTTTTACAAGTCACTTGTGACTTTCATATGTATTTTATTACTTTCACACGCCATCATAGCCTTAATCAGATATCGCGTAAAGAAATCATTCGAGGATGGTAAAATGTGCCTGTGCCTGTCTCTAGTTATGTCTTTCTCATTCCGCCATTTTGGTGCACATGAAACTACATGTAAATATTGTTGTTGTCACAACACCTCAATACCCGTACCTGTCATTTACAAAAAAAAATTAAATAGTTATGTCATATTAAATACTTATTTTGACGACAAAAATAGTTGCGTCCTATTTTGAACTGAACTTGTCAAAACACAGTAATCTGATAGGGGAAGCCTTTCAAGTGGCCTTCCTTCCTCTCGGCACCACACAAGACATGATAACATCGCCATCTGAAATGTGAGGGGTAAATCCCGGATTTGTCGCGCTATGTGAGATACTGACTGACAAACTGTTTGTTTATTCACAGAAGCAGCCCGCCTATACAGAGGTCAAGGTGGTCAAGCGACCCCCACCGTAAGTGTCAAGTAGTGAGATGGTTATAGAGGGGATCCTGGGGGGGGGAGTGCAGGGAATGGGGTAGAACCCATCCAATCACATATTCTAATTGTGAAGCTGTGATGTTATAGAGGGGAACCTAGGGTGGGGGGTGCAGGGAAGGGCGTGCAACCAATCACTCACATATTCTTAGTGTGAAGTTGGGATTTTATAGAGTGGATCATGGTGGTGAGGGGGGGGTGCAGGGAATGGGGTGCAACCAATCACTCACATATTCTTAGTGTGAAGTTGGGATTTTATAGAGGAGATTCTGGTGGAGGGGGGGAGAGCTGTGTTATTGAAGGGAGGGAGAACCCATCACTCACACATATTAGGTTATAGAGTGGATCCTGGTGTGGGGGTTACTAGGGAGGGGAGGGGACCCCCACATTTACACACTCTACATCTTAAGTATGGAATACGTTGTAGAACTACGGTTAGATAGGGATAGAGAGAGGAATGGACCCCACATCCACACACCCGCACACACTGTACGAGAAATGTTAAGCAGAAGTTGTACAGAAATGTATGTTGTGGGAGGGGTTATTTATATACATTATAGAAAATTTTCAGTTCATAGTTTTAATATCTCAGGTTCTCGAACTCAATCATACATAGTATCTTGTCAGCAAGATCTGGCCAATATATACAATTATTTAAAGTAGTTTTTAAAATTTCAAAATTCATATGTCGTCCCTCCCTGGGGAAATGTCCTGGTTTTTATTTAGTTCCGTGATCTACTTATAAAGTGACGAACCTAATTCTGACCATTCTATGGCCGAAACTCATTCATATTGATTTGATTAATTTATACTTAAAGATGAATTTTAAAGAATTTAAATCGATAGGTGGTTTCAACCGGAAATTAAATTGGCCATTCTGGTATAAAATATAATTAGATTGGTGAACTCTGGTAAGTCATATGAAAGTGAGGTCACCTCAAAATGGAATAATTGGTTTTTTTTTTAAGTGAGGACTATTTCTGCCCTATCTCTATTACCTCCCCCTTAATATTTCCCTCCCCTTAATCCCAACATCATTGGCTTCATGTTAAAACTAATGACTCGAATCAGATGTTTTAGACCGCTGCTTTCAGTTTGGTAAGGATTACAATTACAGATAGCTGTCCCGTATATTCTTATTGTGCTACATTTAATTAGATGAAGATAGGGGTGGCGTGGTCGAGTTAGCGGGGGACAGCCAATGTTTCTTCCAGACTTTTTTCTCCGGGGGGGGGGGACACTTGAAATTTTCCGGGGGCGGTAGACTTTCTTCGGGGGGACGGACACTGTTAAAAGTATATATTTTCTATATAAATTATATAAATTCATTTTGTTCGGGGGGGGGGGGGGTAGAATTTTTTCGGGGGGGCTCCCCCCCCCCCCCCCCCCCCGAAGAGATGCCTGGAAGAAACTAAGCCACTCTTCTAGGAGAGACAACTCCAAAACCAAACAACTGCTACCTTGTAGTTTGCTTTTGTTTCTACAAAGGCTATAGAAGCAAATCCAAAAAGAAAAGCAGGCTGAATTCGGAGTCAACCGCCTCAGTGGCGCATAATCAGTTGACACGTATACTTTATTGTGTTGGGGGATCCCAACTAAAGAACGAAGATGAAGAAGATTCCTACTGGGCTACATTTAGTTAGGTGAAGATTATAATTAGCTGTAGCTGTTTCAAATATTCTTGTTGACGTGGCCATGAACCAGAGCTGAAATTTTCCTTGAACTTTCTTCCTTGAAGTTTCCTTGAACTTCCTTCAAACCTATTTGTTTAGCAGACGTGTAGACGTGATAGTGTTCCCCAAATTAGCGGGACCTAACTGGCCATCGATCAGCACTTGACGACGATCTCTATAATTAGCTCTTCTGTTCGACCTGTAGCGTGTTTGACGCTGGCATCCGTCTGGCGTCTATCAATCGCAACACAAGTGCAAATGTTCCCAACATTTTATTTGAGTGGAAGTTTTTTTTTTTAGACAGATGTTATTTGAGGAGAAAAATGTTAGCTTGTACTTATAGCTGTAGAGCAGGGGTTCCCATGGCGCCATGGCGCTCGCCGAACGATTCGTATGTGCCCGCCTAACACTATTCGACAGAGACAGAATTTTTTCATAAACATTATTGAAAGGTTGAAGGGGATGGAAATCGAAAGTTTGACGGGGGGGGGGGGGGGGGCAAATCGAAAATTTGAGGGGGGGGGGGGCAAATCGAAAGTTTGAGGGGTGTGGGGGGTGCAAATCGAAAGTTTTGTCCCCGGGTGACGGGAATGGTCGCTACGCCTCTGGAAGGAGTTTGTCGTTTTAAAATAGGTGGTGCCCGCCACCCTACCGATATTTTAGAATGTGCTCTAGAGTAAAAAAGGTTGGGAACCCCTGCTCTAGAGGATACCGCGAGAAATTATGTCTGTAAAATATTTAGCTTGTACTTATAGCTGTAGTATCGATACCGCGAGTAATCGTGTCTGTCAAATATTTCCAGCCCTCCCACACCCCCAGACTCAGACCTCGCCAACAGGAGGATGGTGGAGGAATTCAACTACCTCAAGCATAAAGGTGAGAGACGGTAGGCCAGACTTACCTGACTGATGACAGACTTACTTACTGATGACAGAAACATAACTGAAGGATGGTGGAGGAATTTAACTCGAGAAGATTTTGTTTTCCCTTGTTAGCTGAATTTAAGTTTAAGATTGTCTACCCCTGTTTTTCCTAATGTGGTATCTCGAATCCCCAAAATGGAATAGTTCACGATGTCGTATCTTGACTCCATATTACGGAATAGCTCTAAATGTGCTGCTATACTCTGACAGAGGCGGAGACACGGAAAGCCTTCAGACGGATGTACCCCGAGCTGCCGGAGACCAACATTAAGCTGGAGGCCCAGCAGAGGGCGCTGCTACGTCAGCAGGAGGAGGCACTGAGGAGTCTGGACAAGACAGGGCTAGGTAGGGTATCACGTGATCACTGGGCTAGGTAGGGTATCACGTGATCACTGGGCTAGGTAGGGTATCACGTGATCACTGGGCTAGGTAGGGTATCACGTGATCACTGGGCTAGGTAGGGTATCACGTGATCACTGGGCTAGGTAGGGTATCACGTGATCACTGGGCTAGGTAGGGTATCAGGGTATCACTGGGCTAGGTAGGGTATCAGGTGATCACTGGGCTAGGTAGGGTATCAGGTGATCACTGGGCTAGGTAGGGTATCACGTGATCACTGGGCTAGGTAGGGTATCAGGTGATCACTGGGCTAGGTAGGGTATCACGTGATTACTGGGCTAGGTAGGGTAGGGTCTGAAGTACGATATAGACGTCAGGTATTTGTGGTAAGCTTTATATTAGTACCTCACAACATTGTGTTATTTACCTAATTAACTAGTCTGTTTACATCCCTTTTGTCCACCAGTCAATGTCCGCTACGCTCCACCAAAGACGGTACCTGCTGAGGGCTACAGGCGCCCTGGATGGATGGACAGGTCACCCACACCCTTCCCACACAGGGTAAGACATTTTCAGAATTCTTAGGGTAGGACATTTTCAGAATTCTATTCGTTCTTACACGGGGTAAGGCATTTTCAGAATTCTTTCGTTCCCACGCGGGGTAAGACATTGTGAAAATTCTATTCGTTCTCACACGGTGTAAGACATTTTCAGAATTCTATTCGTTCTCACACGGTGTAAGACATTTTCAGAATTCGATTCGTTTTTACATGGGGTAATTAACTGCCCATGATTCGACCGTTTTCATCAATATGTAGGGACCGCCAATCACACAGCAATCAGTTAAATACATGTTAGATTAATGAACTTGACTCGGTGGGGTCAAGTTAGTTACCTATGTGGGGTTTAGTTAGTGTGTGGAAATGTGTGTGGTTGATTCGGTGTGGTGAATGTGGGTTGTGATTTGTGTAGAGGTATGTGGGTACTAACATATGGAGTCACTGTTTGGGTACTAACATATGGAGTCACTGTTTGGGTACTAACATATGGCGTCACTGTTTGGGTACTAACATATGGAGTCACTGTTTGGGTACTAACATATGGAGTCACTGTTTGGGTACTAACATATGGAGTCACTGTGTAGGTACTAACATATGGAGTCACTGTTTGGGTACTAACATATGGAGTCACTGTTTGGGTACCAACATATGGAGTCACTGTGTAGGTACTAACATATGGAGTCACTGTTTGGGTACTAACATATGGAGTCACTGTGTGGGTACTAACGTGTGGAGTCATACGTGTTAAGACGTTTTGTGAGTATCCACATGTGAAGACGTTATGTGGGTGCCCACGTGTTAAAACGCTATGTGGGCACCCACATGTGAAGACGTTATGTGGGTACCCACATGTGAAGACGTTATGTGGGTACCCACATGTTAAGACGTTATGTGGGTACCCACATGTTAAGACGTTATGTGAGTACCCACGTGTTAAGACGGTATGTGGGTACCCACATGTGAAGACGGTATGTGGGGACTAAAGCCATTGACATCATGAACCTAAAACACTGAAATTATCTGATTCAGACAAAACGACAGATACACATCACCCAGAAAATAACCAAGCTCTACACTAATTAGTCTTAATTAATTTATTAACACAATTAACTTAGTACACAACTGATAAAGAGCTACTTAAAGATGTAAAAACGGATATTCTGCATACAAATTGTACTTCGTGTAACCGATTATTTGGCTTTTGAACTCCCAGATAAGAGCTAGGCAACCATAAACAACAATAGTCGTCGTAACTTGTCGGAAATCTGAAGACAATATTTAAATTAGTATCGATATGACCCAAGTGGGCCTCGTTGGGCCTGTGCGTGACCCGTCCGATTACCGAAACATCAAATTCAGTGCGTTAGCATAGATTCGACGTCGCGGTCTTGGGTAGGTTCGATATTTATCAGCTCCACGATACGCCAGGGGGTATGGAAGAAAACTGGGTCGTGTCTTGTGGCTGGGGATTTATGTCTTCTGATGAAAGCTGTAGAACAGGACAACAGCATTCATGAACAGCCTTATAGACAACAATAACAGCTGTAGAACAGGACAACAGCATGCAATGACCTGCCTGAGATTGACTTTTAATACCAACGTGGAAACTGTGGGAGTCGTCCCATAAGTTAACGTTACTTTCCTGACTAGGGGGGTGTAGTTACTCTCCTGACTGGGATGATGTGTAGCATTAAAATTGTAGCAATTATGGAGTTCAGAAGTCGTCATTCATGGTGTTGGACCCCCCGCAATCAGTCTACACAATGAAATCCGTCGCGGGTTTAACAGAAGTTCAACACTTGAAGACATCAAAGGACACTTTATTACGGTAAATCGTCGTTTAGAGTCTAGACGCCATACCCACACGCAACGTAAACAATATTATTGACAGTCAACACACGATACAATCGGCTGACATGCTACACACGATAGAATCAGTTGACATGCAAAACACGATTACTGGTGCATCCACTTATGGTATTTAACTGGTTCATTATGCGAAATGACGTGCTTTTTTTTTTTTTTTTTTTTGTAACCTTTTTTAGCCAATCTTGAACCAGTAAAAAAAAAAATGCATTTTTTTTAACGTTCGATTTAGAAATTGCTCGCTGTAAATAAAAGAGGCAGAAAAGTAGTATTTTTCCGTGATAAAGACATAATGACTTAACTATTTAATTATATTTTATTGGTCCAGTATTATCTGCTTTAAATATAATGTATGTCTTGCGGCTGCGCTCAACAAAACAGCGTGTGAAATAGCATTTTACGTCCCTAACCTTATTGCACCCAGAGATCGATTTGTTTCTCGGCTACCTATACATTGCTACCACTATTCTAGCTGTTATGCTATCATTACCGTGTATTGGCTACCTTGAGATTAGCATCTGGACACTTTAAACTACAGACTCGCTGATTTTGGCTACATATTAAATATCTGCCATAACGTGACTGCCTTGACATGTCAGGCTACCCTGACATGACACCCCCATCATGGATACCTTGCCTGCCCTTGTATCAAGCCAGTATCACCGGGTCAGCTTGACACAACCTACCTGCCGGTCAAGCTTTACAACAGCGCTTTGTCGCACCAAAAAACAGGGAAACCCCGATACACCAGACAAACGGGAAACCCCGGTGCAGCACACATACGGCAAACCCCGGATGTGTGTGTATAAATAAATTTAAAAAAAACTGCAAGCTAATCAAGAGCAGGTCAGACATAGGGACATCCTAACCTGCCCATCAAAGGACGGTCAGACGCCGAGTCACCCTAACCTGCCTATCATAGGAACAGGTCATGATGCTAAATGCAGGAGTACCAGGCCCACGTATACTTGACATGTGACAAACCATTTCGCTTTAGTACATTGTGAGGGTGGGGTTGTAGAAAGTTTGTGTTCTATATATAACTGTATGCTCCGTAATGAGCATACGGTATATATTCTTCCTACGGGGTCGCCTCTTCTTATGTACGCCTGGTACAGTGTGGAATGAACACAAATTTCAATTCAATATAATACAGTTCTTTATTTACGCATCAAAGCGACTATCTACGAACACCATCTAACTACAAATAACACTTGACTTCTCCCTACACGCTCACATGACCATCCCTAACACTATCTACTTTTAACTCTCTACATCTTTCCCCTAGCGCTACCTCTCTCTAAGTGCTACCTAACTACTGACCCACGCTTCAGTGGTCATCTGACCGCCACATGTGACCCGTCATCTCTTGTATTTCTATTGGTCTACCTAACTACGCTATGCTCTGTTTCTGATTTCTTCTGTTTGACCTATCTGACGTAAACGTGCGTCATCACAGACATCAACATTATTACAGAAAACACCACATAAAATACAAATAACATGATGCGTAGTGTTGAAGGACGATGCGTATACTCTTATTCATATGTATATGATACCATGCAATAAGATTCGTATGAACTATCAGATTACGTAGCTTGTGTTTTGTCTTTCAGTTACGTCAGAGAGATCGACTGTATACGTCACACAGCATGGACGGTGACGTAGACCGCATATACAGCAGAGCCGAGAGGAGGGAGAGGGCGATTGACTCATTAGCTTGTGAGTAACTACAGTAGCCCTGAGCTGAAGAAGGCCTACATTATATGTGTGTATATGTATATATATATATATATATGTTACGGTCAAAGCCCGAAGTCGGCCAAAGCACGCATTGGCCAATATCGCCTCCCATTGACCGGTCAAAGTCCGAAACTTAACTTGATTTCGGCCTTTGACCGGCCAATCCGCGGACTGGCCAGGACGGACCGGCCAAAGTCTGAAATGGCTCTTGATTTCGGCCTTTAGAACACTTTATTTCTTCAGAAACATCAGTGTTCTTAGAATAATGAAAATCAACAGACCTCCAATGCCACATGTCCACACACTGTATCACTCCGTATCTCACGTTCTACTAACACTGTATTCTGCCTTCAATCATTCTCCGTGACGGCTCCACTCAAGGTACTTTTAATGAACCAGCTCCCTGCCACAATCAAGGTACTCTTAATGAGCCAACTCCCTGCCACAATCAAGGTACTCTTAATGAGCCAACTCCCTGCCACAATCAAGGTACTCTTAATGAGCCAGCTCTCTGCCACAAACCATCCTCAATCAAACACGATGTCTCTAGTTGCACCTATGGCCCACCATAGCCTAGGCCAATTACATTCTGTCTCCGTCCTCACATCAGTTCTTTCTGTTTCTCGGACTTTTTGCTCCGATCCTTCTCTCGGACTTTTTGCTCCGATCCTTCTCTCGGACTTTTTGCTCCGATCCTTCTCTCGGACGTTTTGCTCCGATCCTTCTCTCGGACTTTTTGCTCCGATCATTCTCTAGGCATTCCTGCGCCCATACCCAAAAGTAGCGATATTAATTTATTATACACACACCCAGACGTTGTGCTAGATATGTCAAGGTCAAACCATTCTATTTCGGTAGCACCAATGGCGTCATAATTTGTATTGGTTGGTCCCTCGGCGTCTACTACGTTGGTTACAAAAGAACTTGTTTACACCAAGTATCTTGTATTGTTGACAAGTTAAATTATATTTTACTCACACCAAATAAGCAACATCTTTTTGTACGTCACAGTTACAAAATTGCTCTGTTCGGTTTTGGCCTTGACCTTGTCCATGATTCCGTTGATAGCCAATTACGGTGTTGTTGTTGTAAATACACTAGTTACAATTTTTTTTTTATTTATTATTGAGAATGTGTATAATCATATATGGCCTAAAAGGTTAAAGAATTCACGGAAGCTGCTAATTATTCACGGAAGCAGTCTAACTTGCCACGTAAAAATGATTCTATTTTTATTCTTTTTGCTTCTGTTTTTAATCCCCTGTTTATCGAAATGATTCAACTCAGCATGAGCAGGGAGGTAATTGACGGGAGAAATGCGTTTCCTAAGGGGAAGCACTTGTGTCACGACATTTGTTGCTAAGGAAACATGAACAGCTTTGTTTAGATGTAACGTTGGGAAAATATTAGAAGAGCTTGCCGATGTTTGACCTTGATCTTGTTGATTGATCTGTCTCCAGACAAAAGCAACTACGACGCCGACAAAGTTCTGGATGAGTACGAGAGGCTTAAGCTGAGCAGCAACAGGTGAGTCAGGTGACAGGTGGGGTAAGCTTGTTTTAGTGGTGACATGTGTCATGTGGTTTCAAGTTGTTAATGTTTAGTTGTCTTCAGAGGCGTAGCGACCCTTCACGGGGACAAACTTTCAATTTGGCGCCCCCCCCCCCATATATTTTTTTTTATATTTATAATGCAAAACTGCAGCTAAAATGAGCTTTTATTTGTTTTTTTTAACCCATTATGACGCGCCCTAAGGTCGGCGCCCGGGGACATATGTACCCCCCGCCCCCCCCCCCCCCCTCTACGCCTCTGGTTGTCTGGTAGAGTTTGTAACGTTGTGTTTGTATTAATGTTTTGACCCTGTAGTCCGAACCTGTCGTTTAGGTGTTTCGGTGTGTTTGTGCTAACCAAATGCGTAAAGGATTTTGTATTTCTTCTATTCTATTTTCGTTTTCTTTTGTTTTTGAAAGCTTACTTTTAAGTAAAAAATTGTTGTCTTCGTTGATTTATTTGCTAATCGGTAGTATTTTTATCTAGGAAATGTTTTATTTTTATCGATAACTTAGTGCTGTTAAAAATTTAGCAACAAAAATAATATATTGAGCAGACGGTATTAACGATGTAATTGATTTATCGAGCACAATGTTCTCTAATGTGACTCTTGCGACACCACCAGACCAGTTTCCATTTATTAGTACAACGTTCTTTAATGTAAATCTTCTGCCCCCCCCCCCCCCCAGAACCGCCTTCATTTATTGAGTACAATGTTTTTTAATGTAACTCTTGTGACCCCCCCCCCCTTCTCCCTATAGCCGCCTCCATTTATCGAGTACAATGTTCTTTAATGTAAATCTTGTGACACCCCCCTTCCCCCCTATAGCCGCCTCCATTTATCGAGTACAATGTTCTGTAACGTAAATCTTGTGCCTCCCTCCCCCTTCCCCAAACCCGCCTCCCCCTATAGCCGCCTCCATTTATCGAGTACTATGTTCTTTAATGTAAATCTTGTGGCACCCCCCAGACCCGCCTCCCCCCTATAGCCGCCTCCTTTTATCGAGTACAATGTTCTGTAATGCAAATCTTGTGACACCCCACAGACCCGCCTCCCCCCAGACCCGCCTCCATTTATCGAGTACTATGTTCTGTAAAGTAAATCTTGTGACACCCCCCCCCCCCAGACCCGCCTCCCCCCAGACCCGCCTCCCCCCAGACCCGCCTCCATTTATCGAGTAAAATGTTCTGTAAAGTAAATCTTGTGACACCCCCAGACCCGCCTCCCCCAGACCCGCCTCCATTTATCGAGTACATTGTTCTGTAAAGTAAATCTTGTGACACCCCCCAGACCCGCCTCCACCGAGACGCCTCCATTTATCGAGTACAATGTTCTGTAAAGTAAATCTTGTGACACCCCCCAGACCCGCCTCCCCCCAGACCCGCCTCCATTTATCGAGTACTATGTTCTGTAAAGTAAATCTTGTGACACCCCCCCCCCCAGACCCGCCTCCCCCCAGACCCGCCTCCATTTATCGAGTACTATGTTCTGTAATGTAAATCTTGTGACACCCCCCAGACCCGCCTCCCCCCAGACCCGCCTCCATTTATCGAGTACTATGTTCTGTAATGTAAATCTTGTGACACCCCCCAGACCCGCCTCCCCCTATAGACGCCTCCATTTATCGAGTACAATGTTCTGTAATGTAAATCTTGTGACACCCCCCAGACCCGCCTCCCCCTATAGCCGCAACTTTTTATCGAGTACAATGTTCTGTAAAGTAAATCTTGTGACACCCCCCAGACCCGCCTCCATTTATCGAGTACTATGTTCTGTAAAGTAAATCTTGTGACACCCCCCAGACCCGCCTCCCCCCAGACCCGCCTCCCCCCAGACCCGCCTCCATTTATCGAGTACTATGTTCTGTAATGTAAATCTTGTGACACCCCCCAGACCCGCCTCCCCCCAGACCCGCCTCCATTTATCGAGTACTATGTTCTGTAATGTAAATCTTGTGACACCCCCCAGTCCCGCCTCCCCCCTATAGCCGCCTCCATTTATCGAGTACTATGTTCTGTAATGCAAATCTTGTGACACCCCCCAGACCCGCCTCCCCCTATAGCCGCCTCCATTTATCGAGTACAATGTTCTGTAATGTAAATCTTGTGACACCCCCCAGACCCGCCTCCCCCTATAGCCGCAACTATTTATCGAGTACAATGTTCTGTAATGTAAATCTTGTGACACCCCCCAGTCCCGCCTCCCCCCTATAGCCGCCTCCATTTATCGAGTACTATGTTCTGTAATGCAAATCTTGTGACACCCCCCAGACCCGCCTCCCCCTATAGCCGCCTCCATTTATCGAGTACAATGTTCTGTAATGTAAATCTTGTGACACCCCCCAGACCCGCCTCCCCCCAGACCCGCCTCCCCCCAGACCCGCCTCCATTTATCGAGTACTATGTTCTGTAATGTAAATCTTGTGACACCCCCCAGACCCGCCTCCCCCCAGACCCGCCTCCATTTATCGAGTACTATGTTCTGTAATGTAAATCTTGTGACACCCCCCAGACCCGCCTCCCCCTATAGACGCCTCCATTTATCGAGTACAATGTTCTGTAATGTAAATCTTGTGACACCCCCCAGTCCCGCCTCCCCCCTATAGCCGCCTCCATTTATCGAGTACTATGTTCTGTAATGCAAATCTTGTGACACCCCCCAGACCCGCCTCCCCCTATAGCCGCCTCCATTTATCGAGTACAATGTTCTGTAATGTAAATCTTGTGACACCCCCCAGACCCGCCTCCCCCTATAGCCGCAACTATTTATCGAGTACAATGTTCTGTAATGTAAATCTTGTGACACCCCCCAGTCCCGCCTCCCCCCTATAGCCGCCTCCATTTATCGAGTACTATGTTCTGTAATGCAAATCTTGTGACACCCCCCAGACCCGCCTCCCCCTATAGCCGCCTCCATTTATCGAGTACAATGTTCTGTAATGTAAATCTTGTGACACCCCCCAGACCCGCCTCCCCCTATAGCCGCAACTATTTATCGAGTACAATGTTCTGTAAAGTAAATCTTGTGACACCCCCCAGACCCGCCTCCATTTATCGAGTACTATGTTCTGTAAAGTAAATCTTGTGACACCCCCCAGACCCGCCTCCCCCCAGACCCGCCTCCCCCCAGACCCGCCTCCATTTATCGAGTACTATGTTCTGTAATGTAAATCTTGTGACACCCCCCAGACCCGCCTCCCCCCAGACCCGCCTCCATTTATCGAGTACTATGTTCTGTAATGTAAATCTTGTGACACCCCCCAGACCCGCCTCCCCCTATAGACGCCTCCATTTATCGAGTACAATGTTCTGTAATGTAAATCTTGTGACACCCCCCAGTCCCGCCTCCCCCCTATAGCCGCCTCCATTTATCGAGTACTATGTTCTGTAATGCAAATCTTGTGACACCCCCCAGACCCGCCTCCCCCTATAGCCGCCTCCATTTATCGAGTACAATGTTCTGTAATGTAAATCTTGTGACACCCCCCAGACCCGCCTCCCCCTATAGCCGCAACTATTTATCGAGTACAATGTTCTGTAAAGTAAATCTTGTGACACCCCCCAGACCCGCCTCCATTTATCGAGTACTATGTTCTGTAAAGTAAATCTTGTGACACCCCCCAGACCCGCCTCCACCGAGACGCTTACAGACGACACCTGGATGCGGCCCACAACCAGGACAGCAGTCTAGAGCATAGTAGGCCAAGGTCGGGCAAGGTCACGAGTTCAAGGGATGAACCACCAATCATTGAGCACTGCCTGAGGGCTGAAATGAACCAAATCTAATTTGTCGTGTGTGGGCTGCTTCATCGACTGCTTCATCGACTGCTTTCATCGACTGCTTTCATCGACTGCTTTTATCGACTGCTCTATTGACCGCTTTCATCGAATCATGCAAAACCTAAAAACAAAATTATTTTAGTCCTGGCCAAGTCCGGATGTTGTTGTGACATATCAATCACGCAAGTTAGTCCAATCTACCACATCATCAAGTTCAATGGGCAACAGAGAACAGCTACAATAAAATCAAAGTATACAGCCGGACACCACCATTCATTGTTCTATAATACATCCTTGTTATTTCACATTTTATATATTCACATTTTTTGTAAAATATTGTTTTAAGATTTTATATTACCTTTATGGTGCTGATATAAAAAGTGACATAATTTATTTTTGTCCTAATATCACAAATGGTAGCATGAAATTGTGTAACGGAAAAATGCGCAAAACAAAAGTACAGATAAGCCTATAGTATAATTTGATCATATAGGGATGTTTTATAATGCTTCAAATTACATGTGATCTTTCTTGGGTAAAGTTTTTAAATATTGATTTTAAAAATAATAATTCACATGAACATTTTTTTTTTTTGCGCAATTACCCACTGCGCAAATTTTGTGTCTTTTGTTCTGGTCAATAACATGATGATATTTTGAGGTAGAATCACGATGTTCTATGATGATAACATCACGTAGTTCTAAGATGTTAACATCTCGTAGTTCTAAGATGTTAACATCACCTTGCTCTAGGTTGCTCAAGTAGCTCTCGGATGTTAAGATCATCACTAGCCTCTGTTTACCTACGTCTAGCCAGTCAAACCTCACGTTATCTTCAGCGCCACCTAAAGCCACCATTAAGTCCGCAGCAGACCGGTCTTTAAAGAAGCAGCATCCCATAATTTCGACACAAGATCGCTGCTTGCTTTTTTCTCACTAAGACAGACAAGTACATAGAAAAAGGTTCTTGAAACCAGTGTATCACTATCCACAGTTACAACTGTTCAACTGTTATACACGATAACTACCACAATAACAAAACACTACTGCGGATCGGTTGAATGTAGAGCATTGTTCATATTAAATTCACTGACTTATTATTCTATTTGAAACATGGTATTGGTATATGGCGTTTTCAATGATGACTATTGAAAACGTCTGCAATGTCTTTGATGCTAATATTTGGTGCTTAAATCTTCATGAAATTCGGAATCCAGTTTTTGTTTTATTCTCAAGCTCGGCGAAAACTCGTTAATTAATTCCGAATGGCAGCTATATCACTTACGTTATATGAGAAGTTGACCAATTGGTAGTGTACATGAGAAACTAGAGACGCCTAGAACTGACTACCCTTGCTACATCAGGACCAGACACCCAGGACTGGCTACCTTTGCTACATCAGGACCAGACACCAGGACTGGCTACCCTTGCTACATCAGGACCAGACACCAGGACTGGCTACCATTGCTACATCAGGACCAGACACCAGGACTGGCTACCATTGCTACATCAGGACCAGACACCAGGACTGGCTACCATTGCTACATCAGGACCAGACACCCAGGACTGGCTACCTTTGCTACATCAGGACCAGACACCCAGGACTGGCTACCTTTGCTACATCAGGACCACACAGGACTGGCTACCTTTGCTACATCAGGACCAGACACCCAGGACTGGCTACCTTTGCTACATCAGGACCAGACACCCAGGACTGGCTACCATTGCTACATCAGGACCAGACACCAGGACTTGCTACCATCAGTAAAGAGAAATCAATGCCAGAACTAGACTAGAAACATCAGTCACTGACCTTCGGGTCAGGATGACCCAGTATTTACATTGACCATTATACCCATGGGAGGATTCGTTGTCTCGACAATTTCTTTTTTTAACTCTGTCAAGATGTCTAGAAATCACTGCTGTTTTTTTTTAGTTGTTGTTGTTCTACTATTTGTCTGAATGTCCCTCAACTCGTGCTACATTTTTCATTATGTTTGTTTTGTTTCATTTTTACAATTTGTCTGAATGTCTCTTTATTTTGTAACATTTGTTATACTGTGTCTGGATGTTTCTTAACTATTGTTATATTGTGTCCAACTTGTTGGTCACTCAACTGTTGTTATATCGTGTAAACTTTGCCTGAATGTCTATGAATTATTGTTACATTTTGTACAATGTCTGATCTATTGTAACATTTATAAGCATATGAGTACAATTGTTCCTTTAGATACTTTTGTTCACATTATCAGGGGTTGTTTGTTATAGTCTTATACAGTGGCGTAGCGAGGTCGGGTGTCACCCGGTGCGGCACTTAATGGTGTCACCCCCCCAGAGGCATAGAGACCCTTCCCAGGGACAAACTTTCAAATTTTCGATTTGCACCCCCCCCCCCCTCAAACTTTCGATTTGCACCCCCCCCCCTCGAGTTTTCGATTTGCACCCCCCCCCCCCCTCGAGTTTTTCTCTATATATTTTGCTATTTTTTGCCTTGGTGTCACCCCCCTAAATGGTGTCACCCGGTGCGGTCCGCAACCCCCGCCCCCCCCCCCTCGCTACGCCCCTGGTCTTATATCAACTGTTTATTATAAAGATTCGAGCGGCTGTTGTGTTTATTTGAGAGAGGTCGAGAGTTGTAATTTTATTCATTTTAAATCGTATGAGAGTTATAGTTTTGTATATATAAAAGTGTGTGAGTTATAGTTTTGTATATCCGAAAGTGTGTGAGTTATAGTTTTGTATATCCGAAAGTGTGTGAGAGTTATAGTTTTTTATATATGAAAGTGTGTGAGTTATAGTTTTGTACATCTGAAATTGTGTGAGAGTTATAGTTTTGTATATCTTAAAGTTGGTGAGAGTTATTGTTTTGTATATCTGAAAGTGTGTGAGAGTTATAGTTTGTATGAGTGCTAATTGTTCCAGAATTTATTTTATCTATTTTTTTTTAAATAATGCGGCGTGTAATTGCCCATCATACCTCAAATTAATGATTAAAAGCATTGAAAACAATTCCAGTTGTCTCATCTGAAAATTAGAATAGAAATGTTAACTTTCTCCACCGTGTCAAATACATTTGAATGACGGAATGACACACTACCTAGCGGCTTCTATTAGTTTAAAAATGTTTTATGATGAAATTTTGTAAGCCCACAGCAAAGCCAATTTTTTATTTTATTTTTTGGTCAGTGAGTTAATGGAGTTTAAAAAAAAGCCAAACATATTCAGTAGGGCTAATTATAATTTAAAAGTATTTTATTTGAATAAATTAACATATTTTAAATTCTTGATTACCTCGTGCTTCCCGACCTGTTGCAGACTCTGCCGTGCTAGGTCACTGTCCTAAGTCACTATGCTAGGTCACTGTCCTAAGTCACTATGCTAGGTCACTGTCCTAAGTCACTATGCTAGGTCACTGTCCTAAGTCACTATGCTAGGTCACTGTCCTAAGTCACTATGCTAGGTCACTGTCCTAAGTCACTATGCTAGGTCACTGTCCTAGGTCACTATGCTAGGTCACTGTCCTAAGTCACTGCCTAGGTCACTGTCCTAAGTCACTATGCTAGGTCACTGTCCTAAGTCACTATGCTAGGTCACTGTCCTAAGTCACTGCCTAGGTCACTGTCCTAAGTCACTATGCTAGGTCACTGTCCTAAGTCACTATGCTAGGTCACTGTCCTAAGTCACTATGCTAGGTCACTGTCCTAAGTCACTATGCTAGGTCACTGTCCTAAGTCACTATTCTAGGTCACTGTCCTAAGTCACTATGCTAGGTCACTGTCCTAAGTCACTATGCTAGGTCACTGTCCTAAGTCACTATGCTAGGTCACTGTCCTAGGTCACTATGCTAGGTCACTGTCCTAAGTCACTGCCTAGGTCACTGTCCTAAGTCACTATGCTAGGTCACTGTCCTAAGTCACTATGCTAGGTCACTGTCCTAAGTCACTGCCTAGGTCACTGTCCTAAGTCACTATGCTAGGTCACTGTCCTAAGTCACTATGCTAGGTCACTGTCCTAAGTCACTATGCTAGGTCACTGTCCTAAGTCACTATGCTAGGTCACTGTCCTAAGTCACTATTCTAGGTCACTGTCCTAAGTCACTATGCTAGGTCACTGTCCTAAGTCACTATGCTAGGTCACTGTCCTAAGTCACTATGCTAGGTCACTGTCCTAAGTCACTATGCTAGGTCACTGTCCTAAGTCACTATGCTATGTCACTGTCCTAAGTCACTATGCTAGGTCACTGTCCTAAGTCACTATGCTAGGTCACTGTCCTAAGTCACTATGCTAGGTCACTGTCCTAAGTCACTATGCTAGATAGCTGTGCTAAGTAGCTGTCATAGATCACTGTCCTAGGTCACTGTTCTAGGTAATTGCCATATGTAGCTGTCATAGGTCTCGGTCCTAGGCGTGTCCAAGAGAGCTGTCATTGGTAACTGCCCTCGGTCATATCCTGGGTAGCTGTCATGGGTCACTGCCCTAGGTCGATGTCAAAGGTAGCTGTCAAAGGTAGCGGTCATAGGTAACTGTTTTGGGTAACTGTCATAGATACCGGCCTTATGTCACTCTCTGTGTTTTTAGTAAGTGACGGATGAATGTGATGCTAAGTTGTTTTCCTCGCAAGTCATTTAAACAGGGGCGGAACTACAGTGCCGCCAGACCCCGCAATGCGGGGGGGGGGGGCACGCAATTTAGGGGCCCCACAGCCGACCATAATTTTTTGTATAGTTGAAAAAATTTAATTTTCTTGCATTTTTGACTGGTTGTTTTGTAAAAAAGATTACCATAGCTGCGATTGGATTATCTTTATTCTATAGACACCACCCCACGCTCTTGTATATTCTTTTTCCCTTTGTTTCTAAACCACCGAAAAAACCGAGTCCTCTTTCTCCACAAATCAAACGTATCAAAGATAAGTAAAAGTTCAAACCACTTCCATGACTTATTTCCCTTTTTTAAATAGTCAAATAGGGGTGCTCATAAGCTCCTTTTAATACATTTGTACTAAACAAATTAAAAAGCAATTGCTTCTCTTAATTATTATTTTTTTAATAAAGTATTTACTAAACAATGACATTGTATAAAAAGGAAATGAATATAAAGTTAATAATATAAATACAAAAAAAAACATAAAAATAAACATAACATGAGACAACATTACTTATACAAAACTTTCATGGTTTATATTCTTTTGAACAACTAGGGGTTTCTAGGTCTTATAACAGAGATAAAATAAAACTGATTTTCACAAAACACAAATGCACTTACACACTTGACATGATATTGTAATTTGTTTTAATTGAAAAAAGAAAACTCGAACAGGCCAGCAATGAGTTTCCTCTGTTCGTATTTTATGTATATATCGTATTATATACATATATATATACAGAGTTTCTTCCAGGCATCTCTTCGGGGGGGGGGGGCTAAGCCCCCCCCCCCCCCCGAAATTTTTTTACCCCCCCCCCCCCCCGAACGAAATGAAATTTGTATAATTTATATAGAAAATATATACTTTTAACAGTGTCCGCCCCCCCGAAGAAAGTTTACCGCCCCCCCGAAAACTTCAAGTGCCCGCCCCGGAGAAAAAAGTCTGGAAGAAACACTGTATATATATATATATAAATATATATATATATATATATATATATATATATATATATATATATATATATATATATATATATATATATATATATATATGGGGGGGGGGCTAAACATTTTTTTGCGGGGTGACCTTTTTTTCTAGTTCCGCCACTGGTTTTAAACCAAAGAACAAACTTTATGAGAGCTGTACTAGTGCATTTATTGTACCGAGATCTTTAAGTTTGTACCTACTAATTTTAAAATTCTACTTAGAAGTAGATAACAAGTCAAATATTTAAAAATATTACAACCTGTTTAATGTACTTTTAACAAGACAAGAAAACAATCTTCCAGAAAAAATTGGTCGCTTACAAAAACTTTTTTACACTCTATCTTTAGAAAAGAAAAGGTGGAATATTTTAATGCGTATGAAATTTTGTAATTATAATGGGTTTTTTTAAATATTCCTAAAATGGAATAAAAGATAAAGAACCACAACTCCTTCTTTTTGTTCAAAATGGAAAATGACCTGAATTACTTCCCATATAAAATCGACAATAAAATGAAAGTATTTTGCTTTCGTCTGAGTGAAATAAATTACTGAATCATTGATGGCTTGGTGTAATATATTTTTAAATTAAATTTAGTTAAAACAATGTTAATAAACTTAGTTATCAGTGATCAGTAAACATTATTTCAAAAACCAAAGTACTTCGTAAAAAAAGCCTTTAAAAAACAAGTCTAAAAATTAGTAGACTTCTGTTACAAGTTAACATTAAACATATATATATATATATATATATATATATATATATATATATATATATATATATATATATATATATATATATATATATATATATATATATATATATATATATATATATATATATATATATATATATATATATATATATATATATATATATACAAATGAAGCCAGGACAATGGAAAAAAAATGTTACACTATATTAATTATTTTTTGAATTTTCATTTTTATTTTAAAAAATAGTGTGTAAAGCTAAAAAATACTATCAGGTGTAATGATTTAATACTCAAAAGTAGGTAAAAAAATAGAATAAGCTTCGGATAACTCTTAAAATGAGTAGGCTCCAAGGGAGTCGAACCATACACTTTCTGCTTACAAGGCGTGGTTTTGAAGAAAATAAAAGTTCGCTTGTATGGTGATTCAATTCTGCTAATACAATACCAGTCTACAAATACGCCTGAATAATAAGATTTTCTAATACCATGAAAGATGTGTATTATAGTTGAAATAAAATCCGGTATCTGATGTACGGGGATATAGCTCAGTGGTAGAGCATTCGACTGCAGATCGAGAGGTCCCCGGTTCAAACCCGGGTGTCCCCTGCTCTTTTAATTTTGTTTTCTGATCGTCATTTCTGGGTTTGAAATTAGAAACTTACTTCAGACGTGTAAATTTATACTTCTTGGCATACGAGGATCTCCATTTAAACGATTCTATGAAATACAGCCTGAGCAATGAAATAAATGTTATTACATTTTAATCATGCTTGATGTGTTTTATTTTTATTTTTTAACAAGTTTTTTTCATGCCATATTTGATACATTTTGAAAACATTTTCCAGTTCAACGCACAACCTAAATAGTTAGCTTACCTATGTTCTAGATGTAATGACCAAATGTAATTATTTAGTATGCGATAGTGTGTAACAAAATTAGTGCTAGCTTCTGATGACCAACAAAATGAAAAGGCTCCAGGGGGA